GAGAGACTGAGTTGAACGGGGACGTGAAGTTTCACGTTTGAGATTGTTGTGAAAGCAAGGTGAGGAGGTTTGGAGGAGGTATTTTGGGAAGTGATCTCGCTGTTTTCGGCCATGGTGAGGGGAAGAAGAGAACCGCCGAGGAGGAGAGGGTGTCGCCGGTGAGGAGAGCTGCCGTGGGGAGTCGGCGCTGACGGCGAGAGAGAGAAGGCCGAACGAGAGAGAGAGAGAGGGGGTTTAGGGTTTTTGATTTTTAGGCTCTGATACCATGTAGAAAGGTTAATTTCATTGATCAAATATGTGGGAGTACATGTCTATATATACATAAGAGTTCCTAATCCTATACAAGGTAGGAGTCAATAATAGGAAACATTATATTCCTAATCCTATACAAGGTAGGAGACAATAATAGGAAACAATATATTTACATTAAATATAGAATATATTTAACAACATAGTTATAAATTGGAAATTGTATTTCTCTTTAATGTTGTTGTACCCAGGTCTCCATCTTATTCGCTTTTCCACCTTGGTTCTTCTCCGCATTTTTCTTACCTGATTGGTTAAAAAATTATATTTTACTCAAAAAACTTTTAATATCATTGTCGTTTTATGAAAAAGAAGATCGGGTTAAACATGATTAGTTTTTTATGAATAAATCATTTAATTTTTTTAAAAAACTTATATTTTTTATTTTGTTTACATGATTTTCAATAAGATCAAAAAACCATAATTTTTTTTATATAAATTCATTGTTTTAAACTCGTCAAATTTTAAAAGTTATCATAAATATTTTTTAATAAATGATAAATGAGATTTTAAAGCATGCCATGTAGGATGATACATGTCAAATTGTCAACTACTTAGAGACATGAGTCTCAAATATTATACTCCCTCCGTCCCTAAATAGACTACAAATTGTGGATTACGAAGAGAAATATCTCACATTTTGAGCTCATTTTATTTAAAAATAGGTATATCGATAAGAAATAAAAATTACATATTAAAGAACTACGTCAAAAGTTCTACAAAACAAGAGGTGACAAGATTATTTTATTTTATCAAATACTTAATGAAATCGCGTAAACAAACAAAAGTTATCGAGAGGAGAGAAAAAATTGTAATCTATTTAGAGACGGAGGGAGTAGTAAAGGATAAAGTATATATATTAATTTTTTTAACCTGTGTCACACACGGGTCGGGGCGGAACGAAATTATTGTTCATTTTAAAAATTTTCTTTAAATTTTTAAAATTATGTTCTTTCAGATTCTACTATGCAATTCTTAAGATCTATTTGCTTGAAAAAAAACACTTTTCTAAAAAAAATTTAATTCTAGTCTCCAATGTTAGGTTACATAAGTGGAAATCATTTCTTTGGAATAATATTTTCTCAAAGAGATGAAAATGACTTTTGTTTGTTTTGAATCAAAGTTTATTTTTTCTTCAATCATCAAATACTCTAATTTCTCGATTGAGTTCATACCTACTCCCACACTCCCATCATCTCCCCCCGCCCCCGCCACCCCCTCCCCTCACCGCCCCCAGAGGATGGAGCATTATAAAAAAGATTCAAAATTAATCGTGTATAAAAAATAAAGTATGCTCCACAAAAATATTTTAAAATTATCTCAAAATATTTTTATTTTTATTCAAATATCAACATAGTTTCAATAAAATATGTGGGAGAGAATGATTTTTTGTGAAAATTAGTTTCTCATAGAATAATTATCTAGACACATATTTTGCCACAACTAAATGCACCCTTAACTTTCAATATTTTCCAATATTTTGTTACCTTTTAACTTTTTTTTTAGTTTTTTCCAACTTTTTTCTAATTTCTTTCAATATAATTCTTCCAACCTCTTCCAACATTTTCAAAGTTCTTTCCACTCTTTTAGTTTCATCTAACTTCTTCTGGTTTTTTTCAATAGTGATTTAAGAATTATTTGCATGCATTTTTTGTATTATTATTATTATTATTATTATTATCATCATCATTACAACTACTATTATCAGAACGGTTCTAAAGTCACTTGCTCCGGGTGGGAGTTTACCGAGTGTCGACTGTCGATGATATATAGAAACCATTAATTTTGTGAACGCCACCGTAGATACTTCAATTGAAGCTACTGCCATCTAAAACCCCGTAAAGTGAGTGGATATATTCTATTACAACTAAAAACCTAGTCTTTAAATACAAAACCTTTTATTATTATCATTACACGTAAAATCTATTACGAAACTTTTTATTATTATCATTACAGCTACAGCTACTATTATTATTTTTATTTAATATATTCTATTCAAAAATATATGTTGTCATTCGATACTTGAATCTATAAATATATGAATATCAAGATTATATTTTTTCAATGATCTATTTTTACTATAATATATTTTCTTTATGAAAATTATGTTCCAATAAAGAAAAATAAAGGCACAAAAAGTCCTACTAATAAAGAGGATGAAAACAATTCTTTTTAAAATTTATATTTCCTTTATGAAAATTCTTTCATTTAAAATAAAAGTTTTATCGTTTATAAACACTTTTTGTATCATAAATAAGTACTATTAAAGATTATCAATACCGTGATGTGAATATACATAATATCTCAAACAAAATTTAAATCTTGATAGATTTTTTACTCCCTATTATATATTTAAGGAAATTTTAATTATAAAAAAAGTGATCGAATACATTAAATCAAAAAAAATTTCATATTAAAAATTACTTATCTAATATACAAAAACTCATAATGCACTACATTTCTTTAAAAAGTTTCTCTTCTTTAATTAGGTGGTATAAGATGAGCTAATCATGAGTATATTTTAGCTCATTAAATTTTCATACAAAAGAACAAATTAATTATTTTTAAAAAAACTGTATTTAATCAAAAGACTTTTAATATTATTGTCGTTTTTATGAAAAAAGACATGGACTAATCATGATTAGTTTCTTTTTTATGAATAATTTATTTAATTTTTGTTGAAAAATTATACGGAGTAACATTTATTTCATTTACATGATTTTCAATAAATTCAAAAGTCCATAATTTTTCAATATAAAATATATTGTTTTAAACTCATCACGTTTTAAAGGTTATCATAAATAATTTTTCATAAATGATGAATAAGCATGCAATGTAACTTATTTATGTGTCATATCATTTAAAATTTGTCATGTAAGATATCAAATGTCAATTTTTTAGAGACATGAGTCTCAAATATTACAGTAAAGGATTCCAAACGCTCCCTATTTTCGACGAGCATCTTCATATCCTTCTTTCAAGCAAAGTCCCCACCCTCCATTTCTTTTCTTTTCTGCACTTTTCTTTTCCTTAACGGGTGCCCAAACACGTACGGTCAAAGGAGCCTATATATATTCAAATCAAATTCATTCCTGCGTGGCCCCTAATGATTACTCTCACATTCTATTACTAATCCATTAGAATTTAGAAACACCTTATTAATAGAAAAAGGTTTGGTTCATGAATAAAATAATTATAAATCCCACAAATAAAATAGTCACAAATTACATAAATTTATTATTTATTATTTGAATTCTCATTTTAATATTATTTTATATTATTTATTTTTTATTGAAGTTCACAAATAATAAATTTGTAAAATTTATGACTATTTTATTTATGAACAAGCATTTCTCTTTCCAAAATGTCTAGCGCTTGAATCTTGAATTTAAGAAAAACTAGAAAAATAGAATTGTGTAATTAAAATTTATACTCCGCATTAGAAAGAGAAATTAAAGTAACCACTTACCGACTACCGAGTACACTCTACAATTATGTGTGCATATTTAGTTAGTACTTCGATAAGCCTCGTTTGGTGACAATTTCAACGTTTATTGTTAACATTTTGAATAAATTATTTGACGATAATGTTTAACTTTAAATTTTTTTAAATAAATTTAGGATATGTTTGGTACACAAAATTAACGGAATTGTAATGGAATTGTATTTGAAATTCTATGGAATTGAATTTGATGAAATTGAGTTTTCCAATTCCAATTCATTTTTGCACTACCAATTTCAATTTCACATATTTTTGTGCTATCAAACACGAGAATTAAAATTGAAGTCCTCAATTCCAATTTCACGACTTGAATTTCGTGTACCATACGGAGCCTTATAGTGTCAAAAATTATCCTAATCCTAAAATTTTTTTCCCAAAGACAGCCTTAATCCTTAGTCTAAGCTTGGCAGCTTGCTAACAGAAACAGCTAAACCATATAATAAGTCTCTTTGCTTTGGGTTTTGATGGTTGAGTGGTCTCTCTCGGATTTGAAATGTGGTTGCTTTCTCAAAATTAATCCACCTTTGCGCTTACTAAATACCGAGCAAACATATTCAAAGATTAAGATTTTCTTTTTTGTTTTTTATGGATTCAGAATATTTGAACCCTTTTACTTCTACATGTCTGCTGCCAACTGATTGTTCCTCACTTCTGCATCTCTTTTCTTTATTATTTTCCATACCCTTTTCTTCAATCTTGTTGATGATGATCTTCAATTTTGATTCTTTTCCCCCAATCAGGTACGAAAGACTTCTTTTTTTTTCTTGAATTTCTTGAAAATAGATATTCTCTTCTTATTCTTAACTTTTCAAGTAAGCCAATTTAAATCTTCATCCATTATTTAATTTTTCTGATCTGGGTTTGCTGCTAGAGTGTCAAAATGAGTGTTGGGCACATTCATTATCTCTGTGAGCTCTGCATTTAAGTGTGTTAGTTGAGGAATATGAATGTATCTTCAAGAGTCTGGGTGCCTAAACATAGTACTTTGTGCCAATTCATATATAGATGACATGTGGATGTGTCTGCTACATAGGGTAGGAGTTTACTTAACCTGCCCAGATCTTTTTTTGGCTCTCTAATTGCTGAAATGTGTGAGGCCTGAGATGTTCAAGCTTTCATAGGTTTTCTGAGAACTCCAGCTGATGTGAGTTTTCCTCCCCTCAGAGAATTTCCTGTGTCATCATGTTTCTAGAAATCATTTAAATCTGCCATTTTTTCTCTGATTCTGAAGTTTTCCTCTCAAAGAGTTTCCTGAGGTTACAGGGTTGAGTCCTGGCAACAGCATTTTGAAAGAAAAAAAGGGTTCCATCCATCCTGTAATTCTTGTCATGTTATTCATTTAGATATTGGCGTAAAAATTTAAACATCAAATTTATATATTTATAAATTACATTAAAAGCTCTATAAAACAAGAGCCATGGCTCCCCTTTTTTCTTCTGATTTCGGAGGAAATGTGATGTTCATTACATCTTGCGTTATGGCAGTTTTTAATATGGTCACCAGGATATGACAGATGAGGTTGAAAATTGTGCTTGCTGGACTCATTAGCTTGGCTTGGATGCATCAAGCTCATTGTGGTAAATAATCATTTTATTTTTCGTGTTTAAACTATATATTACCTCCATTTAATTTGTTTTCTTTGATTTCTCAGAAGGGCTTTCTAATGCATTTGAGGAAAATAAGTGGACGTGCACTTGTTTCACAAACTTAAGTATTGCTACTATGGCTAACTGTTCGTCATCATGCAATTGCAGTCCGGGTATGCTTCTGATTGGAATTCTTGCTAAAATGAGATAAGAAATTTAACATTTTTTTCTTCAATGATATAACTTCAAGGGTGACCTTTATATTTCTATCTGCAGATGGGTCGCGCCAAAGCAGGTGGAAGTGTAGATGTGCTGCTGAAGGTTTACCAGTTGTGGCTGCTGAACATAACAATACTTGTTTCTTCACATCTTGCAGTTGCAGTTTCGGTACAATTTTCACTTTTGTGATCTCCCAAAGCTTATCCAAATATCAAAATTTTTGTTTCTTATGGTGTTATTTCTGACTCCTAATAGGGATTCCGACGAAAATACACTATCCCAAGAAGTGGATTTCAAGGGAATATATATTTGTTATTCTCTTTATATCTTCAGCAGTTGCAAATCTTGCCTTTTTTGCACTGATGCTGTGCTACATTATCTACCAAAGGAAAACACAATCTTCTCAACAATATCTTTTTTCGCTAGATAAGGAAATGAGTTTCAGTAGTGGTACTAACTTAATAAGCCAGGGGGCTTCTTCAGAAGCAGAATCAAAAGTTTACCCATCCACCTCAGTAAATACTGTTTCAGGTTCGAATTGTTGATTAAAAATATTGGGAATGTTTATGTTCAACAATCAACACTTTACCCCTTAAGCTTCAATGATCAAGTAATTCTGAAATTTACTGTAGGATGCATTCCCAAGGTATCATTGCTATTCAAAAGCAAAATGGGATCATCATCATCTTCATCTTCATATGGAATGATAGTGTACTTCTCATACTTTGACTTGGAAACTGCCACCGATAAGTTCTCTAGTTCCAATTTGATTGGAGTTGGAGGGAGTAGCCAGGTATACCGCGGCCAACTGAAAGATGGGAGAATCGTCGCAGTTAAGAGAATAGAAACCCAAGGAGGGCCAGATTCAGAGACCTCTTTCTTGACAGAGGTAGTGTTCATCAATCCCAACACAAACAAATCAAGTTTTTTTTGTGATGTTTGGAACATTTGTTTAACACATGATTTGCATGTGTGTGGGTGGTTCAGATGAAACTGATATCAAGACTTCACCATTGCCATGTGGTGCCATTGTTGGGATACTGCTTGGAACACCGAGGAAACCAAGCAGAGAGGCTGCTTGTGTTTGAATACATGGCAAACGGAAACCTCAGAGATTTTCTTGATGGTGGTGGAGCTTCCGGAAGATGTTCGGACTGGGCTACTCGAGTCCGAATTGCTCTTGGAGCTGCTCGGGGTCTGGAGTATCTCCACGAAGCTGCTGCACCAAGGATCCTCCACCGTGATGTCAAATCCACAAATGTTCTGCTCGATGAAAATTTGAGAGCCAAGGTCGTTTCTGTAAAGAGTACAAAATGAATAAAGCTAAGGTAACCCCTACATTTTGGGACTTTCATGACCCCAAACTTTGTACGTGCATGTGGGTGCAAAGCTTGGAGTCATGGTAACCCCAAAATGTTGGTGTTACCCTAGCACGACCCTATAAATATATTCCAGGGCCTTCGACCACAAAACTTGAGCTTATGGTTGGGTTGGTTATTTAACACTCGTTATTCTCTATATAATCTCATTTGTCCTTTTAAGGAATCTGTTTAGTGTAAAAACATAAGATAATAAAAAGATGGGTGATCAATACTAAAAATCCAATTTTCAGGTGCTTGATCGACTTCCTTGTTATGTGTAGATTACTGACCTTGGAATGGCCAAACAGCTGCACAGTGATGGTGGGATGGGCAGTAGTTGCTCAAGTTCTCCTGCTAGAATGCAAGGTACCTTTGGGTATTTTGCACCAGAATATGCCATTGTCGGCCGAGCTTCTCTCAAATCAGATGTGTTCAGTTTTGGCGTAGTGCTTCTTGAACTGATCACCGGACGCCATCCCATTCAGAGGTCCGTGAGCAAAGGCAGGGAAGAAAGCCTTGTAGTATGGGTACACTCCAAAACTTCGCATCCTCCTCTTTTTCACATACAAATATTCATTTTTTTAACACTAATAACTCTATTACAATATAGTATCTATTCATATATTCTCAACCTATTAAAACACATAGAGTTACTGTCCCCATTCGGGTTCAAACCTGTGACCTTCCTCACATTGAACCACAAGGTCTTTGGCATATATACAAATATTCATTTGACATTGAAAAAAAGTCAAACTAGACAAATACTCTGAGACAGAGGTAGTATTATTATTGCATTTAACTGAAATAAGAAGTATGACAGAAGTTGCATTTCTTTTACTGAAGTTGAAGGTGAATGACCATAATGCCCTCATATTTCTTCTTGCGTACTTGCAGGCAACTCCTCGTCTGCAAGACAGTAAGCTAGTGATTTCAGAGTTGCCAGACCCGAATATGAAAGGGGCTTTTGAGGAAGAAGAGATGCAGGTGATGGCTTACTTGGCAAAGGAGTGTCTGCTCCTCGACCCTGATTCTCGGCCAACAATGTCTGAGGTTGTCCAAATCATCTCGACCATAGCTCCAGAGAAATCTAAGAGGAACAACCTTCTGCAGGGACACAACTTTAAGGTTTGTATACAAATTCCAAAACAGAACTCAACAAAACAACTATTTATGCATTTTTCCTGATATAATATAGCATATAACATTGTGTAGAGATCATTGAGCCATAGCATTGAACGCCGTGGAAGAAGAGTTCTCAACCCAACTGCACAAGAAGAGATAAAGCACATTGCTAACTGTGAGAAACATGATGATCACAATGTTGAGATTAACGAGAATGAAGAGGTGGGTTCAGATCAGACAAAGCAGGAAGAAAGAGTAATTGTCACTTTCCCATCAAAGGATAATAAAAGATGGCGTCCTCAAGATGATGCAGCCGTGGACTTGATTGAGCCGCGGTTTGAATCATTTCATGTGCCAAGTATTGTATGACTTGAAGAGTAGAAAATGACATAAAAAGTATAGAAGATGAACACATGCATGGTTGGTGACTGGCGTTTATTTATCAGGAGGAGGAGCCTTTGTAGAGGTGTTTTTTAATGTTGAAATTTTAACCTCATATGTAAATATCATCATAGAAGAACTGTATTCCACATCGAATGTTGAGTAAGATGATAATAGGTTTATAAGCTCTTGAGTTAAACTAGTAATTGATTGAATTCAATTTTTGTAATGTGGTTCAGTCCAAGTGTCTTATGTTCCTGTACACTAATTCTTATCCCATCCTAAATGACCAATTCGTTTGTTCTAATCACATGTGATCAAGAACTGGGTCAAAATCCCCTACCTTGATTCACATTAGTATGGTAATACCCAAAAATAAGTGGTGAATGAGAGCTTTTTTTGTTTTCCAGATTAATATGTTTATTCTTCTTTTCTTTGGTCTTTTTCTTCTTGTATACTTATTAGAAAAAAACTCCAAAGTTAAGTGTGTTTGTAAGTTTCAATAAAGCATGCGATTGAGGACAAAACAAGACATTCTGAGCATACAACAAGTCTATGCACCAATGGTTCACGTGTTTTATGACTATGTATATATAGATTATAATTGATTTCACTTCTTAAAGGAGAGAATCACTTTTACATAGAGTAATTTACCTAAATAGGACTAAAACATAATGACTTTCTCAATATAGGATCATATGTTTTTATTTCCCAATGTAGGACCATTGGTCATTATCTATTAGTCATTATTCAACTAAATGTCCAGCATCACTTGAACATTATTCTCCTCACTAGTCATTATTAAGTCTTATTTCAGGAATAAAAAAGTTTAAGTCATAAATTGGGAAATGACTTATGTTTTAGTCTTATTCACTGCAAATTTCACTTTTACATATTGTCAAGTTTATGGGGAATAGAGCAGGGTCGTCCTTGAGAACTCGATGGCTTGGGTCGAGACAGAAAAAGAGGTCCTAAACAAATGGTATTTATAGTGTTCTCAATTTACTAATAATTTAGGAAAATGCTAAAGTCACAAACATTTTGTTCACAAACTTCACAAACTTATTTTTTCCGGATTTTAAATTAAAATATCTTTTATTATTTGAGTGCATCTTATTTCTAGAAAAGTGTCAAAAAGGTAAGTTTGTGACTTTTGTGAACTCTTTGTTTGTGACTCTAGCATTACTCAATAATTTATCCATCACATTCTACTTCTACCCATTACATCAATAATATTTTTAAAAAGTCAACATAAAAATAATATGAAGTATTTTTTTTAAATTTCCTAAAAGTATAAATAGAAATATCTTAATGAAATCGAGGAAGCACAATTTAATTTTTTAAAATTTGATTTAAGAACGTTTCTACTAATAACTAACACATTCAAAAATCATACTCCCTTTGTCCACAAATAAAATTCTTGTTGCGTGTTACGATGTTTGATTGAAGTTATTTTCAAATCATATTATATGAAAAATGGTGTAAAATTTAAAAATAAAAATTACATATTAAAAACTATATCAAAAGATCTACAAACTAGAGGTGGCATGACTATATTATTTTATCAAAATAAAACTTGACTCTGAATAGTGAATTATTTGTGGAAGGAGGGAGTAATTCGAAATGAGCAAACATGGAACCGGACAGTAACCGATCCAATTGGTACCCGATCCATCACCTGGTATCAGTATTCATCCATTTCTTCCAGAAGGCTGGGTCGGATATCCACCTGGTGCGGATGAGAAGGCTGGGTCGGATATCCACCTGGTGCGGATGAAATTGCCTGCCCTAAACCATCGTCTCTCCCACTACGCTTCTCCAGCGAAATTCTCCAGCTCAGATCTCTCCAGCATAAATCCGCGAACCCATCCGTCGTCTCTCAGCTTCCTCGGCTCTCTCACGTTCTGTAACAGAGGAGGATGAATCCGTTGAAGATGGCGATGACTACTTTGCGACGTGAAGGGAGGCGTTTGGCCGCCGCTCCATTTGCTTCTCCCACCCCTCTCATTGCCTTCCGCTCCTCTCTTGGCTCTCCTTCCGAGTACGATCCGTCCCCTTCTTTCAATTTGTTTTCCCTTATTCAGATTCAAGTGCGCACATTTGAACAAACCAGATCATTTGTCGAAAGTTTAATGTGATTTCGCGGTTTGATTGTCATCTAAAATGCAGCATGAAATGTTGGGATCCTAAACATAGTTTTTGGTATCTGTTATGTTAATGAAACTGCAAATATTCTGTTTTCTTCTCTTAAGAAAAAAGATGTATCTCTACAGGATCTGATATATTGTACTGCTAATTTAGCTAGTTAGAGGGCCATAAAACTTGTCATTTCTGGTCATTTACTGGGATTACAATTTGATCCCACTGACCAACAGTTTAGAGCAATTTGATTTGTTGTTTGCTGAATTTTGTTGGGACATTTTAAAAAATGTTGTCTATGACTTATTGGATAATGATGTGCTCTCAGAAATGTACTTGGGTAACCATTTTGTGCATGATATATTGCTATCTAGGTTAAGATGCACCGCTAAGGGCGCTAGGGGGTCACTGAGGGTGGTAACCACCCTCTTTTATTTATTTTATTGTTTTGCCTGCTCCAAATGGATGCCAGAGATAAAAAAACCATATTTGTGATTCTTATTAGTGGTTTTATAAGTCTCCCTCCTTTCCTAAATAAATTTTACACTTTTCTTTTTCATCCTTCCCAAATTGTTTTTCAGTTTCTTTTCAAGGAATGAATTGTGTGGTTCATTTTGTTCTTTTTCTTTCTAAATAAATCTCTACCACACCTCTTAATTTTCTTAATCTTTGTGCCAAAAGTAACCCTAAAGATCAATTAGGGGTGGAGTATAATTTATGAGAATTGTTACTGAGGTGTATTCGTTTAGTAAAAAAGTCTGTCCCCTAATAGATACAGGCTCTCTCACTGCCTTTGTCGCTGTCGGGGTTAACAACAACATCACCCCAGTGCTGCTGTCGGGGTTACATCTCAGTATATACCTTGTACCTACTTCTTGAGATAATATGATTGATCTTTAATGTCTGTTGCTTCATTTTAATGGTATGTCATCGCTATGAGTCTCTGACTATATACAAAAGTAAATGGTATCCCGGCGCATAGATGATTCCAAAGATGCTGAGTTCAGGCAATGACAACTTTGTATATAGATCGATTTAAATCATAAATGGGCACCATAATCTGAGTATACTATTTTCCCTAGACTATTATTAACTGAATTATGCACGAATTCATATTCAATGTTGACAAAGAACCTACATGATTCCATTTCTATGTCATCGGGTCTATATCTATCGTATCTGTTATTCTGTAGGGTTATTCTTTTCTAATGAAGTTTTTTGTTATATGCAGGGAGGTATGCTTATCTGGAGTCCGTTTTATTTCTACTCAAGTTGGTAAGATTGATTTTTACCTGTCTATCTGTCTGCTCTGCTGCCTGGCTCTTCATGCCCAGTCTACCTTCATCCAAATGGACTTTTCTTTAATAAATTGATATCTTGACTATGGATTGCTGCAGTTAGGAATCGGATGAAGAGTGTTAAAAACATTCAAAAAATCACAAAAGCAATGAAGATGGTTGCAGCTTCTAAGCTTCGAGCTGTTCAGAGTAGAACTGAAAATTCACGTGGCCTCTGGCAGCCATTCTCTGTTCTTCTTAGTGACACTCCAAGTAAGTGTGTGGATTTCATTTTAAGCATTTTGCTAATTTCATAATCCCACTTTTCTGAAGGAGGTGGATTTAGTGAATTTTCTATCTATATTAAAAGATAAAGCTCATATGATATAGGGATCATCCTTCTATTACTCCCTCCATTCCAAAATAAAAGACATAGTTACTACCCTTAGGAACAAACTATATTATTTTCTTTACATATTTTCATCGATAATGTGACCAAGTAATAGTCATGTCGCCTCTTGTTTTGTGGTGCTTTTGATGCAGTTTTTAAATATATTATTTTATATTTTTACATCAATTTTAAAATTAATTATGTTTACCACTGTAAACTTAATTGCGACTTATTTTTTATAAAGGTAAATTATTCATCTTTACTTAAACATATTTTATTTTTATTTGATAATGCTTCTTATGACTCATAACATGATACGGTTCATACTTACGATATGTATCCTGATACAACAAGCCCTGAAAAAATCCACAGAGCAGGGTATGAGGGTGAGTGTAATAGTGTATCTGTGTATGCAAACCTTACTCCTGTGTGGGGCGTAGAGAAGCTATTTTCAAGAGACCCCTTCCCAAACAAAAGAAACACATAAAAACTCGTAAAGGGAAAGTAAGAAAGGTAAGGGAGACGAATACAAAAGAGGTAAGCACTCACGTAGATGCAATGAGCTAAGGCAGCAAGTCTTACACAAGACCACTATGCAAAAGCTTGCCCTATCATCCTAATCCTAGATCGTCTTACGCTCATATCTAATGGTATATCCTCCATTAACTCCCGAATCTGTAAGTCATATCTAATCACTTCGTTCTAGCTCTTCTTAGGTTTACCTTTACCCCTCCTCACGTCCCCTACTTCCAACCTCTCGCATCTCCTCACCATAGCATCTGTACTTCTCTTCAGGACATGCCCAAACCATGTCAGTCTAGCTTCACACAATGTATCCTTCATCGAGACCACACCCACTTTCCCTTGAATATCTTCATTTCAAAGTTTATTCATTCTCGTATTACCATACACCCATCTCAGCATCTTTATCTCTGCCACTTGAGCTTCTGAACCTGAGCATTCTTCAATGCATAGCATTCTACTACATGCAACATAGCCGGTTTGATCGCTGCCCTGCAAAACTTCCCTTTCGGTTTCATTGGTATCCTTTTGTTGCATATATAGGACCCCTCACAGAAGCTTCCACTTCATCCAAGCTACTCCAATACGATGAACAAATCCTCCATCCGCCTGAATGATGAATCCAAGGTACCAAAACTTATTCCTTTTAGGTATTGAATGTGTATCAACATTTACTTCCACTTTCAACTCAATTGTCAAATCCCTAAAACATCATTCCACATACTCAATTTTAGTCGTGCACCGATGCACAAAGGGGCTCTAGTGCCTCAATGCGCGATGCGCTATTGATGCGCGCGTTGAGGCACCGAACATATTTCCATCCGGGATCATTAGAATTTGGTCCTTCAAGTTCTTCGAACCCAAAATCTAGAGATTCTTCCATACATGAAACTTGAAACAGCGCACAAAGATATAAATACAAGAAGGGAAAGAGTGGAAAACCTCACAAAAAAGAATCTGAAAAAAATACTCCTGAAAGAAATTAATGAAAGGAGTGACTAACTTACTAACCTAATTCTCAAATCTCAAATACTACATCAATTTTTATTCTCAAACCCAAAAAAATATTAAATTTAATTTCAAAGTAAAATTGAAAGATAAATAAAAAAACTGGGATTTAAAAAACAGCTTGTACTATATTAACTGAATTCTCAAATTTTACCACATCAGTTTTTTTCTCAAACGTCAAACTCTTAAAAAAAATTAAAAACAAAAAGTAAAAAATAGTTAAATGCCCCATAAATAAATAATGAGGGATTCAGATCTAGACTGTGACTCCAATCAGTCCATGTCAGTAAGGGATAAGGAGTAGTAGGGTTTTTTTTTAAAAAAACTTTATGAAGAGAGCTGTGTATGAATAAGAAGAAACAAAAGTAAAGAGACAAGCAAAAAAGGCAGAAGGCCGGAAGCCTCACGATTATAAAAATGAAAAAAATAAAAGAACCTAAAACGTGAAGCAAGCAAATAGAGAATCTGAAGAGAGCAAAAGGAAAACCGATGCACGGCAGAAGCAAAGTTGATCCGGAGAGAAAAAGCCCTTGCGATGAAGTGGCAAAACAAACAAAGCCCTAAGAAAAAACATAGTGACGAAGCAGAGAAGCAAAAATTTGGGCTGAGTCAACCCTTAAAAAAATTTAAAATAAAAAACTTAATCTGTGTTCGCGATGCACGCATTTTATCGCATCCAGTCGCATCGCTTATTGCGCTGGTGCGCAGGTATGCGCTCGCATAACGTACATCGCCCGCATCACGAGGAAGAATGCGCAGAGCCCTGTGCCTTGCATGATCCGTGCCTCAGGCGCGCTTTTCACAACTATGCTCCCAGTTACGGCCCGTGAAGCAACTAGACCATTTTCTCCTTTGATTCCTACGGAAACATAGTTTTTCTTCGACACGTTCCTGAAATTCTGGCGATTACAGCCGGTAAGAAACATACAAAGTATGTCTTGAAATTGAAGAAGATGAGTTCTAGAGCAAAGCAAATTAAATTAAACATAACACCCAATATACCCAGACAATACTATACCGCTACTGCGTACTGGGCAAATTCTCCCTCTTATATCTAGTCGGCGGCAGCGGCTGTCTAGATGTTTAGCATCGCTTGGACCACGCCTCTTGCATCCTCTGCAGCCTCTTCTATGGATGGCTGCAGTGGCGAGTCGGGGATGATCTAGAAAGCGGAAGGAAGAGCCGAAATGGGGAAAGTAAAGAACTGAAAGGGGGAGGATGAAGACCGGTAGCGCCTAGTGGCGGCTCTAGCCAGGGAGGGACGGATGGGAGATGGAATGAAATTAGGGTTTGGTGGTGGGGGTTGGAAAAGTTAAGAAAGGCTAAATTAGGCATTTCAAATACAACTATTTGCCAAATAATGAAATGGGAAGAAAATTTTCGGACAATCCAAAAAGGAAAGTGGGAAGAAAGTTTTGGGACAAAGAGAGTAATATATTTATTTGTTTTTTGCCTTGTTATATTAAGTCCTTCAAAGAGAGTCATGTTTGAGTAAAATGCAACTTTTTGTAATCAACTCAAGCAAGGTACAAGTTCTTGCAAATTTGAATGGTAACTTGTGCCCCTAAAACTTTTTCCGAATTGTCTGGAATGATGGACTAATACAGCTTGCTGCTTTTCATTTTAATAATGTTACTAAAAAATGAAAGTTGACTTTTAAAACAAGAATCTTTTTGAGGCAAAAATTTCTTGGAATTTGAAGCTCGACTCTCTTGGATGGAGGTAGTACACACTAGTTCGTATAATGCTTCTATGTTGCTCATTCTGATCATGTTCCTGGCATGTTTGTTAAGGCATATTTTTAGAGTGCTTATCATGTTCTGACGTTCTGTTTTGAAATTTTGGTACAATAGGTGTTGATGTGAAGAAGAATGTTATCATTACCATTTCTTCAGACAAAGGTCTTTGTGGTGGAATCAACTCTACATCAGTCAAGACAAGCCGGAACATTCACAAGTTGAATTCTGGTAAACGGCAAATTCTCTTTCACGAGTATGCTTGCTCCAACTGCATTTAAGTTGATCAGTATTTCTGTACAATAACTAGGTCCTGAGAAGGAAAACAAGTATGTAATTCTGGGAGAGAAGGCAAAGGCTCAGCTGTTGAGAGATTCTAAGAAAGATATTCACCTGGTTATGACTGAGCTGCAAAAGAATCCTCTCAACTATACACAGGTTATACTTTTGTTTGAGACATAACACAACTCGCTTAAACTCAACCTCATTTCCATACTCCCTTCGTCCCAAAATCATCTTCTCACTTTTTCTTTTCTAGGCATCCAAAATGATTTTTCCATTTTCTTCTTAGGAATGTTTAAGAATGAAAAAGACAATACTACCCTAAGTTTTTATTATTTCCACTTTTACAAGTATACCTCCATCGCTTTTCTCTTTTCCTCCAGCGTAATCACTCTTCCCATCACACACATCACTGAATACCATTCTGCGGCACTTTCCTTCAGCTCTCCTCCATCTTCCCTTATTTCTATTGATCAAAATCAATTTAATCTCCTAAGGTATTGTGATCCGTCGTTTCACATTAGCAATTACCCTTGATTCCAAATACCTTCGGGGTTGGTGGCAGTTGTGCACTCCACCCTCCACCATGCTTCATGCCTGGAGCACGTGTTCTTCCACTTTTGCAAGCTTGAACATTCCCCTCACCCAATCATGGTCCTCGGAGCTTTTGAGTACAGCCACACCAATTTATTTTGCCAAATACTTTTTTGCTACTTCTGGTGAGACCCTGACTTTCTGCGGGTATTTGGATCGGTAAACACCAATGTGATGCTCAAAAGGTGGATGGCATCTCAGAGGTAGATGATTTACGAGCTGGGCTCACTGCCAGCATTCTTGTTGTACTTCAGTGGACTAATTGAGCACATTGACTAACCTACGTGCACACGGAGGATGAGAGGAGAGAAATGAGCAAGGGCATTTGCAAAACAGGGAAGTACTCTCTTGTCAGCCTATGCTTTGGTCCCCAGTCCCAAAACGGGAAAGTACCCTCTTGTCAATCAACAAAAACAAGGGAAAAATACACAGGCTCGTCAAACAAATTCAAAAAACCAAATGAAAAGGGTCAAGTACACCAAACACAAAAGCACTACGTCTGGAACAGCACCATGCTCCAACCCTATCTCCAAACAAGCTTGACTATTGCTTCCAGAGGTACTTGCAATAAAATTCTCGGTATGAAGGCTAGGCATCGCAGATGAAGGTTGGTTGCCCAATTCGGTCTGCTGTTCAAGACAAGGTTGCGTCCCCACGGCTGCCACGGCACTGTGATCCAGATTCCAGAACCTCAGCATGCACCTTGGGTTGCTTCCTATGCTTAGCACGTTTGGAATTCCCCCCTGTATTAGCTTTATCAGTGGATACTACATTCCTGGTTTATGGCCTCTCCGATGCTAAAAGATGCTTTCCCTTCGAAGGCTCCCACACTGACAGGTGATCACGGCTGGTCATCTTCTTTAGGAGAAATTGAAGGATTTGCAGTCAAAGGGATTATATCCAAACTTTTTGCAATGATAGCAGTTTCGGGAGGCTTTCATACAGAACCTGTTGAACAGCGCTCCCACCCTCAAAGTGAACTTTGAAAGATGTGACAAGTTCTTTCGACATATCAATGTTAATCAACATACGACAAAACCCTATCCTGGCTTTTTCCGTAGTATCACGATCCGGCCCTTTCACAAAGGAGTTCCTAACTTTGATCGCAAGTGTTCAAGAGCCCATTTGCTCCACAATTGCAATGACACATCAAGAAATTTCACCCAAACTGTGGTCATCATGAAGGCATCAAAATCAAACTTTCAAACTGGAAATCACCCAGCCTTTATGAAGAAGAAGTTTGCATATAACTCCCCACTAGGACATTAATCCTTCAATGGCCTTGATGCAGGGGAACCGACCGGTGAAGCAACCAACGAGACAAGCCCTATTCTGATACTTATGAAAGAACAGCTTCATCTGAAATGTCAATCTAGTAGCTTAATATCAAGTCACACTGGATTCTTTCTGACTTTCTTTCTTTCTTTTAATTAAATAAATCTCCTCTTGCTTTTACTGTACTGACTTTAAGATATCGGAGTACATTAGCAAAAACATTTTTTGTAACATCCATATTATTGGTTTTTAACTCTTTAAAGACATTGTTGGTCTTTCTTTGAATGTTGTATTGTCATGTCAAACTGATTCCTTGTAGAAGCTGACAAGGTTTGGATGAATTGGAAAGGGAAATAAAGTCTGAGGATCTTTTATGCATTGCAGGTTTCTGTGGTAGCTGATGAGATACTTAAAAATGTAGAGTTTGATGCTCTGAGAATTGTTTTCAACAAGTTCCAATCAGTCGTCTCATTCTTACCAACCATGTCTACTGTATTATCACCTGAGGTGACTGCACTTAACCTTGTTTGGCATTGGACGGGGGAGAATATAGGTTTATTTCGAGCAATCCTCAACTATACGAACAAACAATGTAGACAAAAGATAACATCCGCCAACTCTCTCTCAGACTTAGACCTCCCTTCGAACCCCTAAACCTAAGAATACTTTAACTTCCACGGCTCAGGTTCAGTCTTTAGGAAGTCTTAGAATGTCTCAAGGTTAAAAGTACACATACACCCTCTTCTAACTTTTGAGGCATCATTTATATTTTGCTTTGATAATGACAAGAATATAACTAGTGACGATTCATAAGGGTTTCCTCTTTAGGCTTTACAATGTTATTAAAGTTTGTCAAGTATACCAGATATACTCCGGAATCTCTCTTGTTTCTTTTATATTTTTATTTTTCGAAAAGAATATAATGAATGTGATAGGAACAATAAACTATATTACTCAATGACATAATATTGTTTTGTCTTCCAGGTTCTGTTCAATGCTGTTCTGGAGAATGCTTGCAGTGAGCAAGGGGCAAGGATGTCTGCCATGGACAGCTCCAGCAGGAATGCTGGTGAAATGCTTGATCGTCTCACCCTTACATACAACAGGTTCTCTCCCTCCTCCTCTCTTATGGTAGTCATGTGATTATAGGATATAGCTTCACTGCCCAACAAGCAATGATGAAAGTATTCCCAAACTTTTTCAATTTTTCATCGAAATTTATGGATTTTGAAGGTCTCCATATAGATGTGAGTGAGGGTAACTGAACTTTTCTAGAAAAACACCTGAATATTTAGGAAGTGTAGAAATATTTTAGTAATTTAGCGTCGTACTATATGATATCAACAACGATCTACCAGCCCACTGATCAATTTGTTCTTTACCCTTTTTTTGTATCAGAACCCGTCAAGCATCTATCACTACAGAACTAATAGAGATCATATCTGGGGCTTCGGCACTCGAGGGCTGATTTACCTGTTTGTTACTCTTTAATTTATGATGGTGATGAAATAAAACCCTACAGAGGACTGCTGTTGCACTTTAGTTCTCCTTTAGTTACTCGAGCTTTTTATGGTCATTAATAATCTCGTGTTTCCCCCCGGGATAATTCGGTTTTTTTGCTGGGAATCTTGATACCCTCTCCCTTGTATAACCAACCTCCACAACTATTCTTGCAGAGGGGAAAATTGTGTTCATGTTTTGAAGTACAAAGTTTATTCAACTTCTGAGTATTATTCTTTTTTCTGTACCAAAAATGTTGTTTGTACATCAATACCAACGGCGCTCTGTAAGTGCCTGTGTCATTTTAATGTCATTTTTCTAATGTCAAAAGATCTTTGCTGTATCAAGATTTAAAATGGTTAAAATGGCATTCTTTTGCACACGTAGTACAAGGGTGTTTGTGTACTGCATATGGAATACAACGCACATATAAGAAATTTTTGTAACCCCTAGAGTATAAAAAAAATGCTACGCTTTGACATTTTTATACTCCTTCCGTTCATAAATTTCTTTTTCACATTCTTTTTTGGGTTGTCCCAAAATTTCTTTTTCGTTTCTTATTTTGGTAAATTTTTTTGGGTTGTCCCAAAATGTCATGGGATGACCTGGAGATGCTCTGGTGTCCCGTTCGTAAAATTGACGGTTTCTACACCCCCTAACCACCCGGTAAACCCCTTGCCCCGACATGAACACACCCCCACCTCCTTCAATTGTACTCCCAAGTTAATTTTGACTTTAGGGGGGTGGTTAATTTTATAATTTCAATCTGGTCCTTAGAGAGGTCGTCTCGAAGAGGTCGTCTCGTGCTCGGTGCGCACACGGAGCTACTATAAATAATCAAACTCTCACACTGCTGCTGCTGAGATTCGGTCCTAGGATCAATGGACTTGACATCCTCTTCTTAGACCAGTTGAGCTACCCATGCGGATAATTTAGTTGTTTGTCACTCTTTAATTTTTTTGACTACTTATGTTACTCTTTAATTAGTGATGGTGATGAAATAAAACCCTAAAGAGGACTCTTGTTGCACTTTAGTTCTCCTTTAGGGTATGTTTGGTTGGAAGGAAAGGAAGGAAAAGGAATAGACGGGAGGGAATGAGAAGGGAAGGGAAAGATTCCCTTCACCTTGTTTGATTTAGAAGGGAAAGAAATGTTTTGTTTTTATTATATTATTTATATTTTTCATTTTTAAATTTATTTTGTTATCTATTTTTAAAAAAATTGTTATCAGTGTTTTTTTGTTTTTTGTAATTTTAATTTTTTATTACTATTTTTATTATTTATCCTACATTTAAATTTTTTATTTTTTTATTTAATTTATTTTCTTAAATTTAATTAAGTATATATATACACATATGTGTGTATATTATTTTATTTATTATTTAATACTATGATTTTTCATTATGAATTGATTGATTTATTTTATTATTAAAATTATTTATCATTATTATTATTATCAATTTTTACTTTTATTTTATAATTTTTTAATATATGTTATTATTTTTATTATTTGGCATTATTTATTAATTATTACTATTATTTATATATTTATTTTATTTTTATATTTTTGGTTCTATTTTATTGTATATTATTTTTTATTGACAAGGCGAAAAAAATTGACGGAAAAAGAAGGACATGAGGGAAGGAGATTCCGTCTAATTCGGAAGGATTAATTTGAAGGGAAAGGTAGGGAATTAAAGCTAAAATTTTGGGTCCCCACAATGTTTTAAAACCAAACAAATGAAGGGATTGTGATTCCCTCCCTTCCCCTTCCCTCCAACTAAACAAACCCTTAGTTACTCGAGCTTTTTATGGTCATTAATAATGAATTACCAGGCATCTCTCAATGAGTATAAACGGTCAAAATGTTGTGTTCTATCGATATGGGCATATTTGGGAATAGTTTTAGAGTTTAACGTTAACGTTTTGAAAAGGCTATCAGCAGGCAGCAATTAGCATTAGCGTTTTCAAATTTAATCAGCACCGTTAAGATTTTATTCAAAATGTTAACGGTGATCGAAAATGCTATTTCCAAACAGACCCTATGTTTTCTCTTTGCAACAACTAGGGTTGGATTGGGAAAACCGAAAACCGGAAACCGATCCCAAACCAATCAAAACAAACTAGAAAAAACCGAATCGAAAAAACCGAACCGAATGTAAAAAAACTGAACACCGTTATTGTTTGGTTTCCGTTTTGGTTTTCACTTCGAAAAACCGAACCGAACCAAATGAACTGAACTTTCTTAGGCACTTCGCTTGATTTATATGAGTATATGTGATATGAAAAAAATCATAAAAATATAAATGCAAATAATTAATTAGTCGATTAAACTTATTTTTTTAACTATTAAACATTTTAAACCTTATTATAAACTTTACAAAACCTAGAAATATAAAATCAATAACTAATCCTAATACGAAATTATATTAACATTAACAATCGATACGAGTAATTTATATATTTACATGAACAAACTTTGATGTTATAGTAGAAATGAAAGTATTATACCAAAAGTGCAAATTCTCCGTAATTGATATTTACATGTGAAAGCTTTATGAGTATTTGGAAGCTCTTAGATGTTTGTTGGACACTCGACACATATTTCTTGTGTAAATTGAACTGAACTCTAACCTTCCGTTTGGTTTTGGTTTTATGTAAAAATGAATCTGAAAAACCAAACCCAACCCTACATATTGTTATTGCTTCATCGAATTTGTATATTTACCATTTTTAATGCTTATAAATTTTATTTCAAAAAATTGAATGAACTGAAAAAACTGAAATAAACACAGCATAAAACCGAATTGAATAACCAACGATTTATATATTTTATATGTGAAACCGAACCGAACTGCCAATTTACCTTCTGTTTTGTCTTTGGTTTTAGGTGAAAACCAAACAGCTAAAATCAAACCTACCCCTAACAACAGCGATACTATAGGGGCAAGAATACTCATCAATTCTTACAATGCAAATTACAAATTAATGAGTGATTAGTTTGGGATTGGTAAGTAAATGCTTTTGTGATTAGCTTATTGGTTCCTCATTGGTGAACCATTTCAATGGTAGGTGTCATATTCTTATGCATACGTGTTGTAGCAAAGAACATTTTGTATTTTGAGCCTCTTCCTTTGACAATAAGGGGTGTTCTCATAGTATGATAAAAAAAAATTTGAATATCTACAATGTTTCGTTCATGAAATTTATGGTTTTACCTCCCTAATTTCTGGGCAAACCGCTCCGTCTCGGCCCTAGCCGAACCCACCCCTAATCTTTTTAATTTCATTCTCCAAATTTAGTTGATTTTTGGATCATTTTTTATTCAAAAATTAACTAAAATTAGGGGATTAAATTGAAAAGGTTAAAGCTGGGGTGAGTATGTAGCTTTTCTTTTTTCTTTTTTTTTGTCCCAATCAGCTAGTTATGACAAAACACAATAAATCTACCATTTTTTCCCATGCTTTTCTGCCACTAAACTACTTTAATTAGTAAAAGCTAAAAACCACTCCATAAAAAGTAAAAAAGTTTTTTTCAGGTAGTCATGCCAAAAATACACTAAAAAGTTAAGGAGTATTATTAGCACATATAACACGAAAGTAAATTAAATTCCTACCGCTACAAAAGTTAATTCACTCTCTAATTAACTCATCATGCATGGGTTTTGTTTGAAGTGGCAAAACAATAAAAAAACATGAGACACCCCTATTTTTTTAAGGCAACAAAACCGGGTTTGGGTTAATTTCTGCATGCAAATCTTAAAATATATGATTGTGTGAGACATACATTATTATTATTATATATAGATGCAAATCCCATGTGAACTTTGGTTGCTGCTGTTATTATTTCTCATGCCCTTTTTTCTGCCTCACACACATATTTTTATTACTACCTCCGTCTCTGAATATTTGTCCAGTTTTGACTTTTTTCAGTCAACCATTTTCAATCTTTGACCTATAATTAAATAAAATATATATCGTAATTAATTAGATAAAATAATATTTTGAAAATATTTCATATAAAAATTTAATAGAATTATTTTTGTATCAATATCTAATATCATTTATATTTAATTTGAAATCCAGGTTTATTAATTTTGACTGAAAAAAGTAAAAAATGGACAAATATTCGTAGAGGGAGGAAAGGGAGTATTATATATACACATCCAAAGTTCCAAACATGATCTGATACTTTACTCGTTTAGCCACCACCCCCACCACCACCAAGTTAACACAATATAATGCTGAGTGATTACATGGGAGGCAATAATAAGGCTAAAAACTTCAATAAGCTAATAAGACCAACAAAGAGTGGCTGCTCCACTAGGCTTGTGGCATTCCTCACCCTCTTGCAATTCACCTTTGCTCTTTATGCTACCTTTCTTCTCTACTGCATGAGCCCTGCAGTTGACTTCAAAATGAGCCCCGATTTTTCGTGGGAGACACGAATGGCACGAAAATGGAGGCACCTCATCGTCCCTGCAACCGAAAGCCAAGAACCCAAAATCCCTCTAATAAAAATGGTTTTCAAACCTCCTGATGTCTGCGAGCACGAGAAGATTGATTTTGAGCAGAAGAAGTCTGATGACAAAGTGGCAATCAAGCTCAAGAAAGAGCTTTACCAACAAGTGCTTGATTTCCAGAGGAATCATAGTGGCTTCGGCGCCGAGACCCTATCTGAGCTATTCAGATTGAAGTCAAAGTGGGGTTTGAAGGGTCTCCAGAACCCGAAAATCACTGTGATCTTGAACCACTTCAAGAGGAAGACACTTTGTGCGCAGCTGGATTCGCTTCTTGGCCAAACTCTTCCCTTTTACCATGTTTGGGTGCTCTCCTTCGCGAGCCCGAACGAGATTCCGTTGAGAAGAATTGTGGAGAGTTACAACGACACGCGGATAAGCTTCATCAGCTCAGGGCATGATTTCAAGTACTATGGAAGGTTCCAGATGGCCTTGCAGACTGAAGCAGATTTTGTGTACATTCTGGACGACGATATGATCCCGGGAAAGAGAATGCTGGAGGTTTTAGCACATGTTTCTGGGACTGAGAAGTACCAGAATTCTGTTCTTGGGAGCATTGGGAGAATCTTGCCTTTCAGACAGAGGGATTTTAGCTTCCCTAGCTACAGAAAGTTCAGGTCCAAAGAAGCTGGTTTGTACTTGCCTGATCCAGCTTATGATATCCTTGTTGATCGAATCGTTCGGGTGGATTTCCTCTCCAGCTCTTGGTTTCTCTCTGCTGATCTTGTCAAGGCTCTCTTCATTGGAACCCCTCTCACTTTCGCAACCGGCGAAGACCTGCACTTAAGGTACATACTACATACCCACAAAACATTCTGACCAATTTTAGCTAGTCTTGTTTGGTTATGACCTGCCTTATCTTAATATTTTGCAGTTATCAGCTTCAGAAGTATAGAAATGCAGGCTCATTTGTTGTGCCAGTTGATCCAAACGACAAGGAAACATGGGGAGATGGTGAGCATAGGCTAGCCTACGTCTCCGAAACAACTGTGATTTTCAAAGACATTGTTCAGGTCAGGGATGACCAATGGTGGCGGGCACTTTCCACGGGCTACGTGACAATGTGGGCCACAATGTACCCACAGAAGATAGATGCCCTCTTCTACGCCCACTCGGTCGACGAAGTAAAAACCCTAGGCCCACTGCTTGAAAAGTTCAGGACAAGTGTTGGGAAAAAGGCATACATTGTTGTCCCCGGGGGCAGGTTCTTGGCTTGTGAGGATGCTGTCATTGCTCTCAAGTGGCCTAAATTGGACTGCAGGGAGAGGAGATTCAAGATATTTGATTTGGGAATAGGGGCAATTTCGGGTATTTCAAGCTCAGAAGTGCCTGTTTTACAGGCGGTTTACGCAAGCATGAAAGGGTTAATCAAGATTCACAACCCCACTCTGGTGATCACAGTGGCTGATGCACACCCTAACATCAAGAAAGCACTACAAATGGCTGTGGCTAACACAAACAGATCAATTCTTGTTCTTTTGCCTCGGTTATCCGTGCCCCACGTTCTTTGGATGGCTGATCTTCACCCAACTTCATTGCCAAGTAAGAACCATTTACTTGATTGCACTGTTTTAATATATACTCACATAGAACTTTAATTTCATGTATGCACAGATTGGAACAAGATGAGGATATCCATAAACATCATTACCCAAGACCGTGCGAGTTCGCTGGCTAGACTTTTGAAGTCTCTCAAGAACGCGTTCTATGTTGGAGACGAAGTTCCCATTACTTTCAACATGGACACAAAAGTGGATGATGCGACGGTCAAGCTTGTGAACTCTTTCAGCTGGCCTCACGGAACGAAAACCCTGAGGAGGCGAATCGTCCCAGGGGGGCTGATTCGAGCTGTGAGTGAGAGTTGGTACCCGTCATCGGATGATGACTTTGGGCTATTACTTGAAGATGACATTGAAGTCTCCCCGTACTATTACCTTTGGATCAAGTACGCTCTCTTGGCATACCATTATGACCCTCAAGTCTCGCTCCCCGAACTCTCCTCCATCTCACTCTACACGCCGCGTTTGGTGGAAGTGGTGAAGGAGAGGCCAAAATGGAATGCGAGTGAGTTCTTCAAACGCATCCATCCAAACACGCCTTACCTCCACCAGCTCCCGTGCAGTTGGGGAGCGGTGTTCTTCCCAAAACAATGGAGGGAGTTCTATGTGTACATGAACATGAGGTTCACGGAGAATGCCAAGGACAACCCGGTCCAAATCCCCAAGTCGAGAACAAACGGGTGGCAAGCTTCATGGAAGAAGTTCTTGATAGACATGATGTACCTAAGAGGCTACGTCAGCCTCTACCCGAACTTCCCAAACCAGGCAAGCTTCTCCACCAACCACATGGAGCCCGGGGCCCACATCGCGGCGAAGGGCAACGTTGTAAAACACAACAAGGCTGACTTTGAGGTTCCCTTGTTGAAACAAGAAGACTTCAGGCTGCTTCTGCCCAATGGGAAACTTCCCCCGGCCTCCAAACTCCCATCACTCAACCTTTTCAACCGGCCTGTTTCTCTCAAGGGATTGAAGTCTGCAGGTGCAAAGCTGAAACAGGACGTTCTTGAATGTAACCTGACAGAGGTCGTCGCCGTTCATCATGACACGGGCCTGCCTTCACATTGTGCAAGATTCTGAAACAAGATTGTTTCTTTGCTTTTTTCTATTTAAAAAAAACGTTAAATCACTCCGGGATGATCTCAAAAACTGATCAATTGATCATCATCCCACTTGATTAAACCCCAATGTAATGCAGCATGCTGATTGCAGACACCTTCAATATGCACATAGTTCTTAGCTTATTACACCTGCAAATGGTAGAAACTATAGACTTGGCTGCCAACTGAAGCAAACATGAATGAACTATAGACATAACATCCTAGAAAAATACTACTCGAAGCTTGAACATTAATTAATTTTTTGAAATGGTGTAGTGAGATTTGAACTTATGAGTTCCCGCCCTGGAGGGCCCAAGATTTTTTGGCTTTGGAATTCCTTTCTCTTTTGGGTGGCTTTGGAATTCTCTTTTTGGCTGCTAAGTTGACATATGCACGAAAAAAATCAGAGAACAAAGAGAGGGTATACGCAGAAAGAAAGAAGAAAAGAGAGAGAGAGGAAGAGTTCATATGGTGCTGTTTTTTCCAATGTTTTAAAAACCGGACCAGACATCGAACCGGACAAGCCACAGGGTCAAGAGTCAACTGGTCAAACCGGGTTGACTCGGGTCAATGACCCGGTCCACGACCCATTACTTGGTATATAATATTCATATTTATGTTTAGATAATAAAAAATTAAATAATACCATATTCTGTGGACTATTTTTAAAGATAATAAAATATTATCACATAACTTAAATATGCATATTATTTCTAAATAATACGAAGCACATACTCCCTCCGTCTAACTTTAATCTTTTCATTTGAATCGGACACACGTATTAAGGAAATATGTATATGTTATTCTCAATGTTAAATAAAATATTTAAAATTGTATTTTTTTTTTCTTCTTCATGTTATTTTCAATGTTATTGTTCATATACTATTTCAAACTTTTCATATTTTATTATAATTTGTATATATTTCTTCATTTTATAGATGATAATATTTGTTTAGATATAAACTATTCATTATTATTTAATACAAAAAATAGTATTTGTTTTTTACTTTGAAATATTTTAAAAGAATATAAAATAATCACACAACACAAACATGATCTTTCTTACAAATAGTTAGAAGTTAGAAGTTTTTTTACTACGTAATTCACTCCACACAAATAAAAAACACCATATATACTATTCTGCATGACTTTGTTAATAAGTGTTGAGTAACTTAAGTGGTTATAGTCTTAAAGAGTTTGTATGGTGAGATCTAGTGTTCAAATCTTATCTCCATCATTTTATTTTATAGACAAAAAAATTTAAAAAAAAAACTTTAGAAAGAGACCCGCGAGTCGACCGGGTCGACCCGGCTCATCGGTTCCACCGAGTCTACCGGATTTGGACGGGTCGATGCAGATCCGGATTTTACATTTGAACTGGACCGGAGTTCTCACCGGTTTGCGGTCCGACCGGTTGGACCGGTCCGGTTCTAATAACATTGGTTTTTTCTGGACAGCCTGCACAAAATTGATGATTTGAGGAGATCCGACCCTTGGATTGAGCAGAAATTTTCGGAGATTAAGGAGGGTGTATTCAATACAGATTCTGCAGGATTTTTTTAGATTTTAAGAATCAGTGGGTATTCAATAAGGATTTTTAAAAGTAATTTAAAATCCAAGGATATTCAATGTGGATTTTAAATTATCAATTAAAATCTAATGGTATTAAACACTCTATAGATTTGGAAAGACTTTTATTATACGTGGATTTAGACGAATTTCATCATTACTTTTCTGAATAAAACTCTTCCAACAAATCCCTGGGCACACCGGTAGATTTTAACGGAGAGTGGCTACAACCATTCATTGTCTATTTTAATTTCTTCATCCTTCATCCGTTGCAAAGGTCGATTGGAAGCCATCTCTTAACAAATTGGTCTGATTAACATTTGATTCATGTTCTCCTCTGTGATTCGCACACTCTTATCATTCCAATTTCAATTTTTGGCTTTAATTCGAAGCTTCTGCAGTGTTGCCGTTGGGGCGCATGAACACTAATAACACCATTGTTGACCAAGGAAGCTTTCTCCATCCACACATCTCCTCACAATTATGATCAAGGGCACCATTTTGTTATAATTTTTAAAAATGTGGTATGTTTTGTTACAAATGGTAGATGAGATGACTTTTTGTTACAACGTCTAACGTTGAGTACCTCATGTGAGAAAATGTCTTTTTAAGAGCTTGTTTGGAAACATCGTTTATGATTAATGTTAGCATTTAAGATAAATTATTAACGTTACAGATTTCATTTGAAAATACTAACGTTAAATATTTTCTTCGTCCTTTAAAATCATTCCTGTTTGAAAAAAGGCACGACCTTAAAATGAGTAATTTTGGTATTATTTTCTAATTATGACTCATCTATACTACGCATCTCATCCTACACATTTATAAAGTAAAGGCAAAATTAGAAAATAACACCAAAATTACTCATTTTAAGGGTGTGCCTTTTTTCAAACAGAAATGGTTTATCTTTTATGGGATGGAGGGAATATAATCGTTTTAAAAAAACTAATGATATTGCCAAACAAGATTTAAGTCTCCCACGCCAATAAAATAAAGAATTATTATATAATTGGTCATTTACAACGGGAGAATTTTCATATTTAGTCCTCTAAATTATATATTACATCATTAGTCCTTTTTTAGGAGTGCCTTTCACAAATAGTTTTTTTAATCTTCTGCCATGTTAGTGTTAATTTCAATGCTAAAATTATAATTTGACATCAATTTTATGTTCAGTGACGTATTCTTATATTGCTTTGACGGATAACACAAAAATAGTGACTCTGATTGTGGGTTAGGATATGACAAAAGACTGCATCTGTAGACTATATATGGTTGTATTAGAAATCGACTTTAATTCATAAACGACGCATTAGGAGCATCCTTTGTATTGCGTATGACAAGAAAAATATATTATCATTGTAAAATTACACGTTTAACCCTCAAATTTGTTAGAGTATCCCACATCGGAAATTGAAGAGAAAATAAACCGGTATATAAGCCCTTGAGTTGAACTAACTAATCGATTGGATTCAATCTTTTAAATGTGGTTCAACCCAAGTGTCTTATAGCCCAATCCAGTTGTCTCTACCCAATCCTAAATTCTATCAAAATTAACACCAACATTATAGTAGATAACAAAAGACTATTTGTAGAAAGATACAATAAAAGAAAGACCACCGGAATAAGATTGATAATAAAGAACAAAATATAGAAACTCTCATGTTATAAAAGACAAATGATAGAATTTACTTTGAAATAAATTTACAAATTTTTTTTTTTTTGAGTTGTTATTAACCAAAACAGTTCAAGTGGCCGCTCCTAGTTGCGTGCTCAGAGCCTCAGACCATCATCAAGTCCAGTCCAAACTCCGTATATGAATGTACCAGCACAAATAGTTGAGCCTTCTCTAATCTCAAACACAAAACAAAAAATAATTTGAAGAGTTGTTGACTTGACTTCAACCAACGCACATACAGAACAACAATCGAACAAACACATTCACGGAAGGATCTAAAGCCTAGCTAGAAAGAAAGTGTAAAAAGGTCTTACAATAGAATTGTAAGAAGAAGATAGAATTGCAGCAGGTTTTTGGGGTGAGGCTAAGAATTAGTGAAATAATAATGTGGCAGTCAATGGGGTATGAATTGAACACATGTACAATAAAAGTGGGCATAACGATACATAAATTAACGAGTAAAGTGCATTGTTTACCCCTGTAATCTTTAGAAATTGCATGTTTTACCTCTGAACTTTAAAAGTGCACCGATTACTCTCGAACTCTTCGAAAATTGCACGATTTACCCCTGCACACTAAAAAATGCACCAAATACCCTTGAACAAATTAAAACGTTGCATCGTTGGTCCTAAAGTATTAGATGGGGAGTGTGTTGCTTCCACGCACAAGAATTGTGAATATGATTCATTTGGCCCTTGTGAATTCTCCGAAGTACCTTTACCCAAAATTATCGTCTTTATTTAAATGTTCAGTAGTAAACAGTACAATTTTCAAAGAGTTCAGGGGTTTTTGGTACAATTTTTATTGGTCAGGGGTAAATCGTGCAATTTCTGAAGAATTCAGGAGTATTTGGTGCACTTTTCAATGTTTGGGGATAAACAATGCAATTTTCAAAGAATTCGAGGGTAAACAGTGCACTTAACTCATAAATTAACAAATAAATACACAAGTACATAAAATTGAGCCTTTCTCTTCTCTAATTTATCTCAAACGCAAAACAAAAAAAAAAATCTAATTGGGATGGTTTTACATCACTGAGCACCCAGCATCTTCATTATAATAATGGGGAACTGGGTATGGAGCGTAGAGTGTGCTGTTAGAAGGCGGTGGGTAATAGGTGAGAGGGTATTGGGTCTTTGGTGGCTCTTCCTTTGCGGCGGCGGCGGGTTTATTGCCCTTTGGGGGCTCATCCTTTTTCTCCACCACGGGCGCCACCGTGAGAAGATCGGCGTGGCCCAATTTCTTACGCAGCGTGGTGGCCAGCACCACCGCGTCGAACTCCCCCACCACCTCTATTTCCCCCTTCTCTACCTGTATTGACGCCGCAACAACTCCTACAGGGAACAAATATAAAAAAAAAATTGGTTCCAATTCTGCTTTTGGGATGTGATATTTAAAAAAAAAAAAAAAGTGTTTCTAGCAAGCTGGCTACGAACCTGGCTGGGCAACAGCAATCTTAAAAGCCTTGATGCGAGCCTTCTCATCCTTCAATATCACGCTAATCACTGCCTTTTGCTGCAAATAATAACCAAAAGAGAATTGATGAATCATTAGAGTGCATGTAAATCACTACAATTAAGTACCTTAAAGAACAGAACATATATATTATCAAGATCGATGGTGGCATGTAGATCATAATACCTTGCCCATTTTTTTGTTTATTTCTGTGTAATATAATCAGCCTGCAGTAGTGTTTGGGGCGGAAAAATTGTATATTGATGTTTGTGAGTCATTACACTAAACTGGTTGAGGTATATATATACAATCCATATGCATGGGAGCTTGCTAGGCAAGTACTCAGAAACAAATGTGGTACTAGCACTACGGCACCGCGTGTACCGAGTAATGACTTATCTTTCTCATATAGTAAAAGTCACAAATACTTCCTAGTAGTAACTAGGCCAATTTTTGAGGAGGGAGTACAAGTTAATGTCATTTCAAAGAAATTTAATTATGCAATATTACTTTTTTTAAAATATGAATTTTACCTTAATTAAATTTTTGGGGTTTATTGATTTTTTTTATTTGTTGGGTTTTATGTAATACTTCCCCCGTTCCATAAAACTTTTCATCTTTCGTTTCTTTCCAAATCCTTAAACACTTCCACTTTCTATTAAAAATCCACTTTTACCTCTACTTTTTCATACCCTACTTATCACATAATACTTTCTCACTAATAACCAAACTATCACATCTTACTTTTACCCATCATATCATGGGCAAAATTGAAAAGTCAAACAAAATTACACTTTTCTTATTTTGGCCCAAAGTCAAAATAGGAATGATTTTAAAGAACGAAGGGAGTATTATTTTCGTTTTACACTTATTTTTATTTTGAAAGAAATTTGACATTTATAAAAGAAATATTTGCACTAAATAGCACTAAAACTTAAGTCATTTCTCTAAATAGCATTTAGATTATTTTATTCCTTAAATAACACTTAATAATGTCTATAATGACCAGTGATGGCAAACATTTACGTGAATAATGACTAATGTATAATGACTAAAAGTGCTACATTGGGAAAAAACACGCACGTAGTGCTATTTAGAGAAAGTCATTACGTTTTAGCGCTATTTAGGCAAATTTCTCTTTATAAAATACACTATAACTTTTTTTGGTGAAAGAGAGAGAGAGATTGGCTTGTGTGGGTAAAACCATAGGATGAGGTAAAAGGCTAATGTTGTCATTCGCTTTAAGGGTTTAGAAAAGTTGAGCCCCACTATAAACTCTTGGAGCGCACCAGTGAAATTTGCATTAAATAGGACTAAAACATAATGATTTTTCTAATGTAGTACTTAAACTTTTTTATTTCTTAAATAGAACTTAATAATGACCTAGTGGGAGGAATAATGTACAGTAATGTTAGACATTTACTTGAATAATGACTACATGATAATGACCAAAAGTCCTACATTTGAAAATAAAGACATATGGTCCTATATTGAAAAAGTCATTATGTTTTAGTCTTATTTAGGTAAATTTCTAATATCAATTCCTGTATAAAAATGCTTATTTTTCTTAAATGTAAGTCAATGATGGACTTTACGTCCACCATAGAATTTACCATGGTGGTTCAAAGGGTCTAGTAGCACTTAGTCACGTCGTAGAATCCCAAAATTACAAAAATTTATGTAAAATCTGTTCCATTTTGACATGAATCGGAGCTTCACATTGAAGAGGGTTTCCACATTAATATATGTGTCATTTACATCTTCTTCATATTTGGTTGTGGTTGCTTGATGTGTTGCTGATTTTTTTGGTTGGTGAATATCTTGGTATACTCTTTGTGAGAATTGGGTCAAGTGATTTTGGTTGTTTGTCTTGAAGTTGATTCTTGTACGTGTCCTATTCTACTTGTCACTTCTCCCCTAGCTACATCTGGTATGAGAACGTTTGTTTAAACCGTAGATATGAAGTCTGAAAATAATTCTATAGTTAAATTGATATCAATGGCATCCTATGATGGAAGATTTGTTATATTGTAAAGATTTGTTTGACCCAATTGACATGGATAAAACCAAGAAAGAGCCCACTAAACCAAAGAAGATGACAGATAAAGAATGGGAAAAGTTGAAGAGAAAGACCATGGGGATTATTAGACAATGGAATGATATTAGCATATTCAACCATGTGTGTCAAGAGACTGAGCCACTCGAGTTGTGGAGAAAATTGGAGAGTCTTTATGAGAGGAAGACTGCTCATAACAAGGCCTCATTGATTAAGAGGCTTGTTAGTCTAAAGTTGAAGCCAGAGAAGTCTATTTCTGATTATTTTAGTAATTTTCTAGATATTATTAACAAGTTGATTATGATAAAAATTATTTTTGATGATTAGTTGCGGGTTTTATTGCTATTAACAAATTTATAAAATTATATTTATAGTTTTTAATATTTTATTATCATCCTATAGAATTTAAAATAATTTTTCATAATTAATGTATTTTTATTTCAAAAATGGACTAATTGAGAAAACACCGAGTTAAAAAGTACATAAAAAAGTAGGATAATGTTTAACGTTTTTTTAACGGCCATTAGTCGGGAGGATTGAACTGAATATTATTCCGAATTAATGAGTATCATTACAGGAAATAGTTCATTTTTAGAACTAATTTTGAAAAACATAATTATTGGAGAATTTATTCCTTTTTTTTCATTTATTCTTTTTTCTTACTATTGAAGTTGAAAGAGTCAATGCTTACACAAAAGAGTTCAGTGTTTGGTTTTCATACTTTTCCTAATGTTACGCTTTGGGTGCAACAAATCAAAACATTTTTCCAGAGCCCGTCCAGAGCGGCATCTCAGAACGGTGAACCCAATCTAATCTCTCTTTCACCGTTCAATCCCCACTCTCATCTCCGACCAATCCTTCGGCGAAACCTCCTGTGAGACTCACAAACCCTAAATTTTTCACCTGCCATAGAAATCGCCATTGTTGCATTGCGATCTTTATACATTTGAGAATTATTTTTTTTATACTCTTTGCCATATTCGCATGCTGAATCCTTCGGAAATATAGTTGTTGGGGAGTTCCTTCTTGATTTCTAATATTGGGGTTTTAAAGACTTTTTGGGCCCGGTAAATGGAGGTCAATTCCAAAGAAATATTTTTTCTGTTTACCCATATGTTGGGACCTATTTTCATTTTTCAGTATCTCATTTTAGCATCGTATCACTTAGGCAGTGTTACGCTTTTTTTAAAAAATTAAATCTGGATTGGTTTTATTTCTATATTGAATGAGAAATGTGCAACTTATGATTTTTTTCGAAAGTTTTTATGCTGTTATGTTTTAGCTGCTTGATCCTATCAGATCAGTTTGATAATTCTGCATATAACAACAAAAACTATTTATCACTCTGTATTATTATAATTTTAAATGGATGTCAATGTATTCTTCAATTACATCTTTACAAGTTTGAAGCTCGTCGTATTTCCTGACATTATAGTTCAGTTACAAAATTTGCAGTCATTCATGAACACAAACATAATATCCCGCGTGATTCCCGTAGTAACTTTGAAACATGATTTGTTAGAATGAATTCTAAAACACATTGCTTATCAGTTTGGTTCATAGTTTGCTGGTTTTAGGTGATTCCCTAAACAAAGAATTTAAGAAATCACTTGAAGATATTGTGAAGCAAGTGCTGTATATAAGATAGAAGCTCACTGAGTGATGCATAAATGTTGCGGTCTTACATGTGACTTAACCTCAGGTACTCAGGCTTGCTTGTTTTAGCAGAGGATGCTATATGTGCTCCTAGAGCTGATCAAAAAATTTGTTTCAGCGTAGTGTGCGGCCTTTAAGTTAGGCAGCATTTATCACAATGGGAACCCCTTACCGCAGGTTACTTAGACATACCCCCTTTTTCCATTATTATTTGGCTAAATCCACTAAAAATTTATGCAGTATATCTTTAGATGTATTTCTACCCAACATTAGTTCTACCTGTTGCTTTGAAACCGTTATCACGCGTAGTCTTACCTCTTGTTTTTTGTTCCTTCCAATTGCAGTGTTGCTTTTAGAAAATCAAATGATAGTGCCAGGCTTATTATAACGACAGTAATGGGCATGGTGTTTGGATACTTTATAGGCATTTCATTTCCATTGCTTTCTTTAGCCAAGGTACGTTACAAAGTTCATGGAAATGCATGTTCTGAATGGTAGAGTAATGCATTTTTGTCATCCACTTTATGCTTGATGATATTATGCAGATTAACTTACCTTCAAGCCTTATATCATCTCTTGATGTAGCCTTTGGTGAGGACCATCAAAGATTTACAGATCGTAGTTTTCCTGAAAATCTTGGTTCGGGTAGCACTCCAACAACACCCAAGGTACTTTGTCATTTTGTCCTAACAATAACATTATTTGGATTTTAACGATTGTCATTCCCTGCCTTTAATCTATTCATGTGTCTGTTAGTATGAAAAGTATTGTGTCCTACATTTTTTATTGTGGCTCCTGTCATGTTTTATACATTAGATTTTTTAAGATGTAATTCTAGCCTCTAGGAGATAAGAACTAGCTCGCTGGAAGTTTTGTCGTCATCGCACATGGCAACCGAAAATGTAACTCTAGTCTCCAGTTACTGTATGCTCATAACGTTTGAAGCCTCGATGCTGACCAAAAATGAGAACTGTTTATATTTTCCCAAATTATATTGACAATATTTCTTCTGTTGATAATGTGCCTGATAATTGTAAATCCAATAACATTGAGTTCTTTTTATGTCAATACACGCAGGGAAATGCCACTATTCAGCCCTACATCTTTCCCATTCTTCACACTCATTCCATATTCTATGCTTCTTTTTCCCTAGCTTCTTGTCATAATTGGTCTCCGCCATTTCTTCCTTTTCTCCTTTTTATACCTTCTTTAAACAAACTCTTAGGAATTATGATTGTATACAAATTGTTCGGTTGAATAAAATTTGGTTTAAAAATTGATTTTTTGTTTGGCACAATGCCACAATGGTCTTTTAGACATGGGAGGTGTTAATCACACCCCTCTATAGCACTAGATCCACCCCATTTTATATACATTTTTTAACTAAATATTAAAAAATTATACCCTTGAAATTTAAGAATATTTATACTCCAGAATATTCTAAGGGACAAATTTTCGTAGAGGTCCCTATACTATCCAAAAATATTCAAATAAGTCTTTGTACTTAAAATGATTTAGTCCTTGTACTATTCTTTTTTGTTCAATCAAGTCATCTTCACCTTTTTACTAATCTATTGCCCCGAACTTTTAGGATGAAGTCTAATTTTTTTATAGATGACATGGAAATGTTGTCTTGGCATACTTATTCACATGTTTTAATCTATTTTTAGTCATTATTAATTAGACAATTTTATCCCTATATTTTTTCATAAAAGAAAATAAATAAACAAATGTATATTGTAAGAGTTCGAGGCAGTAGATAAGAAAAAAAGTGAAGAGGACTTGATTGAACAAAAAAGAATAATATTGGGACTAAATGGCTTCAATTTTAAGTACAAGAACTAATTAGAACATTTTTAGATATTGCAAAGCTTCTCCGGTACTTTGTCAATATTCTATGTAATTCGGCTGAATTTAGTGTAAAACATGGTGTCAAAATACTAGGGGTATTCAATGTCCACTACCGGGGTGGGTTTATAAGATTTTTAGAGAGCGGCGAATTAGCCGGTGGAGTGGATATAGTTAAATGGTGGGATGTGGCTTTCACCTCCCTTTAGACATACAAAGAAATATATTTCTCATTCCCTTCAGCAACCTCATTTTATCTCGCTACTCTCTAGCTTCAAACCCAGAGACTCCCTTCATTCCATGAAAAACTTTCCGCTTTCTATTTCTGTCTTGTCAAAATAAACTCCCACTTTTCTCATTTTCTTTAAAGGGATGGAATATGCAGCTCACAACATTTCTCTCTTCTAAACAAATTCTAACCACACGTTTGAATTACAGAATAGTTTTTGTTTACTCTGTATTTTGGTAATTTGTAGGCGTGAGAACTAGATCTATTTTGATGTATTTTTCAGAGCACTCATATTTTGCTAATAACTTTTTTGATTTCCAGATCTATGTTCCCTCCAATCCTCGTGGTGCAGAATCATTGCCACCAGGAATTGTAGTTTCAGAATCTGATTTTTATCTTCGTAGATTATGGGGTGAACCAAGTGAGGTATACTAATAATATAACATTTGTTTTCATTTTATATGTCATTTGGTGTATTTAATATTTTTATGCTTGTGATTTTTTTAATTCGCTCTGATAGGGCTTCATTGTAGTATGTTCTTGTTGATAGTTTCAGAGCTCATTCATATATTTAGTTCTTGCAAACCATAACTTTGCTTGGTTCTTTTTTCTGTCTTAGCTGGATTGACAGTTTGACACATGCTAGATTAAAGCTCTACTAGTCTACTACGAGTCTGCAACTTTGGAACTTGAAATAAAAACTGTCTCAGATTGTCCTCTCAACACGCACTAGATTACAATAATGTGACTTATCTTCTATACTTTGTTTTAAAGTATTGAGTAAAAAGTATGCATATAGCATTATGAGTACACTTCATAGCAGTCATTTCCCATTCCATTTATTTATGTGCACTTATTCCTTTATCTTTTAGCACTTCCTTTCAGCATTTCAAAATTTGAAATTTTCAGGATCTGAAAAGGAAGCCCAAGTACCTAGTAACCTTTACAGTTGGTTTGGACCAAAAGAACAATATCAATGCAGCTGTTAAGAAGGTTATTTAAATCTATCTAGAATTAAATAGCAAATTTGATTCATAAATCATAATACACGGCATATTATGGATTGCATGCACTGAGTTTTATTATGTAATGCCATTTTTAGTTCTCAGAAGATTTTCAAATTATGCTTTTCCATTATGATGGCCGGACAACAGAATGGGATCAGTTTGAGTGGTCAAAGCGTGCAATTCATGTCAGTGTTAGAAAGCAGACCAAATGGTAAGGCATAGGATTTTTTATTTGGTTGATTGTTGGAAGTCTAAATGGATCTGGATGTGTTGTGTCTGAATTTGCAAAATAAGTATGTGATTAAGGTATTATTCATGGAATATGTGTAGAAGAGTATGTAAAAGATAAATGGCAATTATGTCGATCATTTCTTGGCCAGTCAAACTATATGATGTAGTAAAATACTAAGTTTCCACCTTTCCCTAGATAGAATTATGAGACTTTTTTCTCTTCCAAATTCCAATACAGTGCCAAGTTATTAAATCAGAAAGTACTCTGCAGGTCCTTGCTACTCGGACCTAGGGCTCATTGAGTAGCTGCCCTCCCTAGTCGACATGATTTACGCAACTGAGTTACTTGCCAGTTACTCAACAATTTTCTTGATTCGTTTTCTCACTTTACTCACCTCATTAACCAAGGTTCAGAAAAGCTAAAACGTGTTTTGAGGCGTTCTTTTTTAACCTCAGAAGCATGTATGCTTCTTGGGCTAACCCGTAAAATACGCAATATTGATACAAGAGTGTGAACATCTCACAAATAAAATTCTTAAATAAATTTCTTAGTAGTTCATAAAACAAGTTAACAACATTTAAATTAAGATGAAAAATTGTGGTAGCTACCTCTAAAAAGCTTCAGTTTCTGTAGAAAAGAAAGCAAACTAATAGAACCGTATTGAAGAATTTTTTTTGAATAAAGAACAAAAGAAAGCGCTTGAGACCTTGAGTAGAAAGTAAAAGTCTGAACTTCTAGGGTTTCTGTTGGGTTAAGTTTTCCCTCCCTTAAAAATCCAACTAACACCATCCTAATCCTTCTAGCGAATAAGATGTCTTATTAAGCTAAACTAAGGTATAAAAAAACTACTCCCTCAATCTCAAAATATACAACACACTTTTATTTTTTGTTCGTACCAAAATGAAAGTCCCTTTCATTTTTGATAAGTATATGGCCATCATTATTTTTCTCTCTTTCACTAACCACACACTCTTTTTGCTTTTCAACACCTAAACTCCATGTTCAGTTAAAGTGGACTTTTAGTTTGGGATGGAGTTATTTTTCTTGTAAGAAAGTTCGTCACTGCATAGTATTAGAGGCATAAGCCTCATGAGGTGTATACTTTAAGGTGTAAGCTTCAAGGCAATAATCTATAACCTTCACTCAAGGCTTGTTTCTCAGTTGAGCAACTCAGTTGGTGTTAAAATGTGTTGAGTTCAGGAACCATGACAAAGGTGGAAGAAGTTATCAAAAGAAGTTTAGTGAGAGGGAGATAGTGTTGATATTGAACCAATAGATTATGAATTTAGTTTTTTTAAGTTAAATATAACAACAACCCAATATAATCCCTACTCCGTTGGGGACTGGGGGTCATGATGTTCCACTTGTAAAAGAGTTTAAGATTTAAGAACTAAAGATTGAGTGCGAGAGTGAAGTGCAATTAGATACTTACTTCTTTTTTTGTTGGGGGATATTAAAGGGGAAGGATATCATTTATTTTTTTAATTTATTCTAACATTAATGATTCCTCTTATGAAGGCTGCAATAAGAAGGGCATATAGTGTAAAACATAGCCACTGTTTTTTTGCATAATTTGTTAATGTCACTTGATTTCATTAAGGTGCTGATGATAAATGATTCTTACACTAGATGGATAAAAAGGAAGTGAACATGAAAAATTATAAAGGAATACCTTATTTAACCAAGTATAGTTATTACCTAAATGCCCTCCGTCACACAGATTTTCCCACTTTTCTATTTCTCTGTCCCAAAATAATTCTCCCACTTTTTCCCTTACCCTTTTTGGAAAAGAATATTTGGCTCACAATATTTTTCTCTTCTAAACAAATTCTAACCACACACTTTTCACTTTTCATCACCTTTTTTTATCTCCGTGGAGTCAAAGTGGAAATTTTTTAGTCACCCATGCCACCCCAAAATGATCCCCCAACCAAATAAATTCTTGAGCTTTGATTTGGATCTTCCTTAAATGGTCTATGAATCCAGTAGTGGTTGTGGATTATTGTTTTTGCTTCATATAATATTGTACTTCCTCCATCTCTAAAAAACCTCACCCTTTTTTTTGGGCTGTCTCACTATAAACCTCACCTTTCCATATTTGGTTAATAAATGAGTCAGAAATCCAAATCCACTTGTTTCATTAAAGAAGAGTACACTATCCTTTTCGGGATGTCCCAAAATAAGTTTATACTTACTTTTCTATGAAGGAAAACAATATGTGGCACACAACATTTTTTTCTCTTCTAAACAATTTCCAACAACTCACTTTTTACTTTCAAGCAATTTTAATAAAAAGTTAAACTCAGTGAAGTCAAATTGTAAACTTCAGATTTACGGGGCCAAGTGATATCCAATACTCATTAATAATCAGTCCTTAATCCTAATAGTTACTTGGTGTTTGATCGAGTAGCCACTGAGTAATGCAACAACAACTTAACTACATTGAGAGCAGAACACAATGCAATTAAACATTTACAACCAAGTGGTGCACCATTGTACTCTGCAATCTTCTAAACATCAGTAGTGGTCAACAATCACTGATTACAATTCTGCTAAATAAATTCAGATTAAATATCTTCTGCACAAAGGGACTAGAATACCCCAGAGCCCACACAGGTTTGCTCCTGATGGGGTTGAATGCTGATCTGTGGTGATAATGGGCCTTACTAATAGTACCTGGGTTAAATATGTACAGTTGTTTTTCAGGAGCTTCATAATCTTCACACTTCTTGCATTTCCTTGTTATATATGGACAATTTTGTCTTTCAGCTATTTCATGATCTTTATGCTCTTTATGTTCCCCTATATGATCTTCACACACTTCATGTTTCCATATATAATCAGCACACATTTCATTTTTCCATGTATAATCGTCACACATTTCATGTTTCCTATACTGTCCACACATTCCATCTTTCCCTTCACACTCTTGGCGCATATCAGGTTTTCTTTGTAATATTCACACTTCATGTTTTTCTATTATTAGGTGGTATGCGAAGCGGTTTTTACACCCAGATGTTGTAGCTGCTTATGATTACATATTTATTTGGGACGAAGATCTTGGAGTAGAACACTTCAATGCACACAAGTAAGTTCCAATAATTGGTTTTTGGTTCTGTTTTTTGCTTTTATTTGTGTGTTTGGGGGGGGGGCATTGGGGTTGAGAAGCTATTATTTTTTCTTCTGACTAAATCTATCCTAAAAAAATCCAGGTATATTCAACTAGTGAAGAAACATGGTCTGGAGATATCTCAGCCTGGTTTGGAGCCAAACAATGGATTGACATGGCAAATGACAAAAAGAAGGGGAGACAAAGAAGTTCACAAGTAGACCTTTTGTATTCCACTCCCCCTTTCAATGAATGATAAGATGGCTACATTTTTTTTCAATCTTTAAAATTTTTTTCTGGATGGATGAACAGGGATACAGATGAGAAACCGGGATGGTGCAGTGATCCACATTTGCCTCCCTGTGCAGCGTATTTTATGTCCCTCATATGATACTTTCAATATACTTATTGATAGCATTTTAGTTGTATTTAATGTATTTTTTTTCGTTTCCAGTTTTGTAGAAATCATGGCTCCTGTGTTCTCCCGAGAAGCATGGCGGTGTGTTTGGCATATGATTCAGGTATTAGATAATATTTGATATTTTTTGGCTGCTTTACTGATTACCATTGGTGGTGTCAAGTTAATGCAATGATTTTTGCATGGTAAATTGTGCAACTGTTTAATTATTCTCTTTATAGAATGATCTGGTTCATGGATGGGGATTGGATTTCGCTCTCAGAAGATGTGTAGAGGTATGAATTTCTGTGTTGAACCTCCCTGATTGCATGAATAGGGGTTTGGATTTACTTTTCCTTATTTATGTTACACTTAAGATGTATAAGAAATGATATACTTCATCCGTCAGAGTCCTATTTCTCAACTTATTTGTCTGAGTTGTCCCTTAATAAGAGTTATTCATTAGTTGGTTAAAAATATAGGTATATTTAGTGCATTCAAAGAGTTGTTCCTTACTAGTTACTAAAAATATAAAAGTTGAATATTCATCGCATTGGAGTCCTTTTTATGGGATGGAGGGAGTATTATACTTCATGCATTTAAAATTTGTGTGAATGTATGAAGCACCCTTAAAAATACTATCTGAAACCTAATATATATTTTTGGTGTACACAGCCTGCTCATGAAAAGATTGGTGTAGTTGATTCACAATGGATTATTCATCAAGTTATCCCTTCGCTAGGGAATCAGGTTGAGTTATAATTAATTTCTGACTCTGTATTTTCCCTTGCATCCATGATTGAACAAGTTCTGCAAATCTTGATTTGTAAAAAATAAAATCTTCTACTTTCTTTTGCATTTGATGTGCTAAATTCACAAGCAGGAAGTCAGGGGCCCTGGGGGACGGTCTCTGTAGTTACAGACTTGAAGCCTACAGAGCTTCACAAAATAGGGATTTAATAAACTTAATTTGTGTCTCGTTTGTTCCAGTCTCTAATAAATTCACCTCTTCATTTGCATCTATTTTTTGTTGCATCTATCCTGGAAATATGCTAGGGAGAGGGGAAAAGAAGAAAAAGCTAAATCATTTTAGTAAGCTCTACCCTGTGCAATGCAAAAGAAAATGAGACATGGTTTTTAAAAATAGATTTATGCTATATATTTATATTTCTTAATATTTATATAACATAATTAAACTTATAAAATGAGTTTGCACTACTATTATTTAGAAGAAATGGATTGAGTTTGAGTCTGTCTGTTGTACCCCCCCCCTCCCCTCCTCCACCACCAAAGTTCTCTTTTCTCTCTGTTTCCTTTCTTTTTAATATCTCGTCAGTATTTTCTTGGTTCCAACGGACCCTTACTGCTGTGTTGATGCAATATGCAGGGTCGGTCTGAAGATGGTAAAGCTCCGTGGCAAGGGGTATGTTTATATTCTTTCCTTTCCTTCATCTGTTGCCTTGGTGCCAAACTCCAACATTTCTCTCTGTTCAGTGGTATTTTTTTTAGAACAGATTAATCAGGTTGCATGTTAAGGTTAAGTTTGCTCCAGTTCTAGCCTGTTCAAAAATTTTCCTGAAATTAAAAGATAATAGTTTCACAATGATTTATGAAACCTGGTTCTGCTTGGTGGACTGCAATAGCATTTGGAGCCTGTTTGGTCATGCCTAAAATCGCTGAATTTGAATTTCGGTGAAATTGTTTGTTTAAATGGATGAATCTGCGGAAAACACAGAAAATCATTTCTAAAACTTAAAAATTTTCAGTTAAAATTTAAAAATTACACACATTTGTATGGGCGTGTTTCACTTTGCAGGTAAGAGAGAGATGCAGAGGGGAATGGGCAATGTTCCAAGACCGCTTGGCCAATGCCGATAAACAATATTTTGCACAACTCGGACGCAGTTAAAGAAGAAAACACTCAATAAAAACATTTCCTCTTTTTTTGGCTGGTTGGAATCTGTACATGGAACTCCGGTTTGGTTTTCCTTGGAGTTACCGCCAGGCTCTCTCGTGTTAGTAGAGACTAGAGAGAGTAGGCAAACATGGCTCATGCATATTTCTAGTGAGGAGCAGTGAAAGAAGCTGGAAAACAATATATCATTGTGCATAGCTACCCCAAATTTTAAACATTTATTTATAGTCAATTGATGATTTTTGTTGGTACTCTATGTTACTACTCCTTCCGTCCAATTTTAAATCGTCTGTTTGCCTTTTTTCTTCGTCCCAAAATAAGTTGCCTGTTAGTTGTTATCGTAAACTATTAAAAATAAAATACCTAAACTACCCCTAAAATAAGTCACTCTTCTTCACTTTATCTTCTAATTCATCGTCACCCCTCATAAAATATAATGACAATTTTGGAAAATTAACTTTATTTTTTCTTTTCCTTAAATATGTCTAAAAGTCAAAACGTGCAATTTAAAACGGGATGGAGGGAGTACAATTTTTCTATGGTGTGTATTCATATAGTCTCATTGAGATCTTGAATGACTTTTAGATGGCAATAGAGTTTAGTCAAAGTGTTTTGCTTTTTTGTCAATAATTATTTTTTGAAAAAATGAAGACGTGGTTCACAATTTTTTTATCACAAAGAAATTTGAATCATATTTTTTACTTGTCAACACGTGATTTTACATTATTACTCTAAGGGTCAGTGTGGACACAGAGATTCTATATAATTGAATTCAATGTTATAGAATTCTCCAATTCCAATTCTTTTTTTGCACGATCAATTCTAAATATACATATTTTTGTGTTATTAAACAGTAGGATTGAAATTAAAATTTCCAATTCTAACTCCTTGGCTTGAATTCCGTGTACCAAACAGGGTCTAAGATTCATGAAGTGAAACTATTCTTTCTAAAATTTTTATATGTTTACGGTGGTATATCCCAGAATTGATATATGTTTATATCGTGTACTCATGATGAACCAATGGTTGGGCCAATGTATTGGGAGTTTTCTAGCTATGCTACATATTGCAATATAATGGTTTGTTTAGTGAGCGTAAAAGGTATAGAATATAGATTATAATGTTCTTTGATATCAGAACCTTTTTTTGTATTCAATGAGACAAAAAAACATTTTGATTTGGTATTTTTTGAATTTGAGATATATCAATATGGGAGTTTGTTAAGTCACCTATTTTTAGAAAAATAATAGTCACCTTTTCATTTTCTAATTTTTGTTTTAGGTCATTTTGATCAACATAACCATATTGTGGAAATATTTTCAGTTACCATTTCAGGTTTTTTTTACTTATAACTCCTATCGTCGATATATTATTAATGATGTTAATTTTTCTCTCTTCAAACGTTATCTTTATTTATTTATAATTTTTTCTTTTAATGTTGTATCCTAGTATCAAAATATTGTAACATCCTAATTAATTGCCGTAGGATTGAAGTGCTGAATTTATGATTTATTTATGAAAATCTCCTTTTCTGAGGAGTAGTTTCTTGCACTCTTTAATTTGTTGCATGACTACATAGTTTTAAACTTTCAATATCCCATTGACTTTTAGGAGGAAATGGGAAAGATAATTCATTTTTGGAAGGTGGTCATTATCCCAATGCTTTTGATTGTTTCTGGTATGTTTTTTGGTTTAACATATGATTTTTTTGGTACATGTTTTACATATAGAACGTGTAAAATTAGGTAAATTATGCAATATTAATATAATGTAGTTTCAGCCAAAAATATAATGTAGTATTTCCTAATTAAGATATTTCTTCATTTTTTATGTTGAGCATTACTCTATCCATCTTAATTTATCTTGTCTAGATTTTCTTGATCAAAATTTAGAAACTTATGGGGTAACTTTATTTTGTAGATCTAAAACATTGTCATAATGTAAACTTTGGTACTCGGTATTATTAAATTAATTTGCAAATGTAGTTTAAAGAACACATTTTCATTAAATTTATTTAAATACAAATATAGTTATTAATAATCACAATGTCGCGTTTAAGGCCATAGAAAGTGACAAGACTAGAAGAGTAAGAGAGAATATAGAAAATTACACAAACTTACAAAATGCCAACACTATAATCTTACAATTAGGTGTATTTTATAGAATAATAAAGGTGTTATTATCATGGTGCAATTCTTTAGGCACCATTGTCATTCTGAAACTGGTGCATTTGAAAATCCTACGATGTTATATTTGATCGCAATATAGTAACTATTTTTCTAAGCTCTAAACCTCACAAGCTCCCATCCCACCCCATTTGGTACTCAGTCCCTACCTTCTTAATCCTATTAGTCAAATATGCTTGGCATTTTGATCAAAATTCAACCAAATTTGAAGGGCGTGATTGGGGGCATGGAAAATGGAGTGCTTGCAAAGGTTAACAGAAATATATATTAACAACGTTGAGATTAAATGAAACACTATAGGGTGCTCAATAATGTGTCATAATATGACTCTCATGCTCAATGTTTAAAATGTATACGAATCAAGCCAACAGAGTTTTGGCTGAAGAACCATTTACCAAACAAGACCTTTATCTCATGTAAGTTCATGTAAGTACAATCTACCCTATGTCATATAACTCCAAAAATATAAAAAAAACTAAGAAAATAATAAAATTCATAATTTGAATTAAAACATACTCTATACATTAAATTATGATATTCAAATCTTTTATACCAAGATATAATTAAAAGTTACAATCAAGAGGTCTATGCTCTTCATTCAATTCTTTGATGTAATTACATTTGTTTTCTAAATTTAAAAACAAAAATTCAATAACAATATCTAATAAAATAACACCCAACAAGGCGTTGCCACCCTGTTGTTACATGTCATTATAGAGAGATTATAACTGGCAGGAAAAAATAATGTCACAAAGCGCACCTTATTAGTAAAAAATTACTTAATGTTTTAAAAAAATTAAAACTACTTGTACACAAAGAGTTGTACTCCAAGTTGTACACCATAGGTGTAAATTAACACTTTGATGGCTTACACTGACACAAAGTGGAAGTGCAATATTTTTCATTTTTTAGTCGCACTTGCAATTTGTGTTAGTGTGAACCTGTCGGTGCACCCCTGTGGTCTACACCCACCCCTGCGGTACACTCCTTGGGGTGCACGTAGCATGTTTGTATTCAAATATTCTCGTCGTCCTAAAAAAGCTCCTTGTTTGACTTGACACAAAAAAATGAAGAATGTATTATCGGAAGTCATGTAGAGAGAGAAAAAAATTATGAACCACTCAAAATTTAAAAAAAAATAGAAAGATAAGGTTTTTTTGGAACGTCGAAAGAGAAAATAAAAATCTTTTTTTAGAAAGGAGGGATATTATTTTTAAATGCAATTAAAATCTATGTGCTAAAAGGAATGTATACTTACCAGATTTTACAAGTGCAAAGGCAACATATAACAGAGAGGATCTGGAGGAGTGTGAAAACAGGGTCAAGAGTTGGGCATCTTCTTCCCAGGAGTTTGAAGCTTCTGAACATCAAAAGATATTAAAGGATTTCCTGTTCTTTCTTCATGTCCCCAGAACAGGGGGCAAAAATTACCACCATTGGTAATCTTTCATTCTCTCTTCCAGATTAATAACTCTCTTAAAACTTCTTATCGATCCGGTTGGTTCTTATTTGAATATATTTACATCTGATTTCTTCTCTATATACTTTGATTTACAGCATTTTGGAACAACTCTATGATACCTCTTCAAGGTGTCCACATTCCTATGATCGCTTAAGGTTTAATCCAAGGTAATTCTTGAATTGCTTAGATAATTTTCCATTGATTTCTCTATGTATAAAACTCAAATATGTTCTCTTGGTGATTTTAGTCTCATCGATCATTTTATGTAATTCGATTTACTAAGATCAGACGGAATTTTGATAAGCGTTGTTAACGAGTTGGGTGGTGGGGAACGCACACTCGTTCAATAATATTACAAGCTCTGTAGTGGGGTCCAAGGGGCGACAGCCATTGGCTGAGTCCTTTGGATTTTCATATAGGGGTCAAAATAAGGAAACATTCGAATGTAAGAATCCACGCATTCGAGTGTTAGTATTAATTCCATACACCCTTTGCGAATGGACACATTAGTTTGAATTTTAACTCTTAAACATTCGAATATTTCACGATAAGCAGTGATGGTTCACGCAGAAACCCGTTGAAACACAATATTTAACAATAGATGCTACATACGTTCGAATGTTCTGGCCGAATATTCAAATGTTTTGCGCAAAGTTGTGTTTTTTATTCAACAAACGCATCGGACCAGTTTGTGTTCAATATATATATGGAGTCCCAAGGTATGTTTGAGAGACGACGGAGCTTCCATACTCGTTCTAGAAATACTAACGTCTCAATCTGAGCAGATCATGCGATTGGTTTAGTATACCAAGTTTCTTCACATTCTTTCGTATACTGTTCCAACTATATTCTCCCCATTCACATATGCAGGAACCCAAGATGTAATTTGACAGTAACACATGATGACTACAGCTTGATGTCTAGACTACCAAAAGATAAAACCTCTGTGGTCACCATCATCCGGAACCCAATCGAACGCGTGATTAGCTCATATGAATTTTCTATTGAAGTTGCAGCCAGGTCTCTGCAGTTCAACAATTTAACAACTGCTATTCAAGTGGAAGACGATAAGCCCAACGTTACAGAGAGAGGAGTCACTCAAGATATCTGGCCATGGAGGTACTTAGTTCCATGGATGATGCACGATCTCTTCTCTCGAGTATGTCTAATTTTTTACTACTCTTATAGGTTAAGCATTTTTGTTAAAACATACAAAGAATAAGGGAATAATAATACTGAGGGGTTCTAAAGCCACTCACTTTAAACGGCTCCGGACGACACCGGCTCTAACTGAGACATCTACGATGTTTCGTTCACAAAACTGATGATTCTTACCCCTCCTAACCTACCCCGTAAACCCCCACCCTGACCTGAACTCACCCCATCAAATTTTTTGACACAAAAGAAAACTTAATTTGGGGGTGGGTTTAAGTTAGGTAAGGGTGGGTGTTAGATATTTTGGGTAACAGAGCATCGTAAATGCCCCAAAAAAGTTGTTGCATTGTATTGTCAACCAGAATCAGTGGCTCTAGAACCAATACAATAATAATAATTTCGTAAGTCTATGCTAGTATTTTGTCAATCTCCTAACACGTTCAATCGTTCATAAAAGGTGATGGGTACACTTGACTTTTTTTTCTTTAGAGAGATCAAAGAAAGCTTAAGGGTGAAAGTGTTATCATAAGTGATGATCCATACAACATGGAGGAAATTTTGATGCCTTTGCATCAGTTTATAAAGGAGCCTATCGCCTTGGATCTTGTCCACAACGGAGCCACATTTCAGGTACTTTATCTCGACTAATTCTCTTAGCTTAATTGTTATTTTGTGCACGGTTTTATATTTAGGTATCCTCTTAGGTTTGTAGATGAGACGATTCATATTGCGATTAATAGGTTGCAGGACTCACAAACAATTCATACTCGAAAATGTCACATCAAGTGCGCCATTGTGTGTTGAAGTACCCAAGTCTTGGCGAATATGTTCTTGAGGTTGCCAAGGTAATATTGGAGGACTTCATAAACAAACTTATTAATTACACTTATTGATCTCATTTGTTTTTCTTTTTCTTCTATTTATAATAAAATGGATGCTAGATATATTCATGTGAATCTTGCAGAGGAGGTTGGACAATATGTTGTATGTCGGGCTCACGGATAAGCACAAAGAGTCAGCTACTTTGTTTGCCAATGTCGTTGGTGATCAAGTCACATCGAAGTTGGCTCAATCACGATTTAGTAGAAATAGTTCGGCCATCCAACGTCCAGGTTAACTGTTTTGTCAATAACATAACATAGAAAATGTAGACAAGATTGTGTTTGTGCGCCCAGAAAAGATTTTTATACTCTAACACGTTATGATTTTCTTAATAAGGTAATCTGTTTTTTATTCCACAGAACATGCCTATGCATCAAAAAATTCTAGCTCATCAAAGGTATTATCTTTAATTTCTTGAATATTTTTCCTTCTTTCATATCAAAATGTGACAATCTTTTCTGTTTGAAAAAAAACCCACAGGCGATGGTTGAAAAACCATTTGAGAAACCATATGAGATGTGCATAAAAAAGTTACTTGCATCTCAAACACGCAGGCGTAGCTTGGCTATGATTTACATTACTCCCGCGAATTTCACAAAGGAGGTAATGCAAAATACTTTTAGCAGAACCATGAACTATGCGAGAAATCACTCTGATGATAAAATATTTGAAATTTAAAACAGACCCGTCAACGAATATCCAAGAGAATCATTGAGGAGATTACTGCCCTAAATAACCTTGATATTCAATTATATGAATATGCACAACTCATCTTTGAGAACCAAAAGCAAGCGAAGTCGCTGAAAGTGATGACTATAGTAAGTGACATGTTCGCCTATTTGTAACGGATATGTTACAAAAAAACATTGTAACATGTTAATCAAAAGTTTGTAATAATTTGACATTTTTGTAATGATCCATCCATTTATATGGCTCTTGTCAATTCATAATATTAAAACTAAAGGTATGTTTATATGTTGCAGGTCATAGGGGATGGAATGTTGAAGACATTGTATGTTGCCTCATGGAAACCTCTTCTATTTGCATTTCCCTTTCTCATTTTACTTCTCTTTATTTTCATATATGTAAAGGGTAGAGGGAGAAGATCAAAATCTAAGGTGTGAGTGCCACTGCAAAGAAATGATGGTAGCACACATTTGGAGTTTTGTGGAGATATTAAAAAACTATATATGTGATAAAATTGAAATAAAGACAATGACTAAATAATGTGACTTGCATTTTCTAGCGTATTGAGATAATGGATCGATTTGACAATAATTCGGCGTTTAGTTTTAAAATTCTAAAAAAACTATCTTACCATAGCATGTAACTTTAGTGTTTTTCATTTTCATCTAAATGACTAATTTTTTATTTCTATACAAATTGTTAAATAAAGAAGTTCAGATAACCATCCTAGCTAGATTGAAATGAAAATTTGTTTTTGGGATATATGGACTGCAAAATATAATAAGAATATTATTTAGTGACAACTCGAAAACAAAGATGAAACATTTAAAAAGTACAAAGGGGGTATGCATTTGTTTTTATTGTTTCGTATTTTAGTTTCATGTTTGACTCGACGGACTCTTAAGTTTTATTTTCTTTTTTAGAAACCCGTCCTTTACCATTTTGAAAACATTTTAGTGGGGCTCGCGATATCATTCTTAGAACTATTTGAGAATTTTCTTTTTTATTCGGTACAATGTTGATCCAGTTTGCAACAATATCAAAACCTTATTTTTGTCCAATCGAACTCTCTTTATGTCAAAATACATTAGCTAGTTACTAATCAGTAGTCACATGATTAAGCATATCTTGTTAAATAGAATTCGTTCATATGACATGAATCTCATTATAAGGTACAAGAAAATTTATTTCAATATTTCTTCGTTTATCTAATTTTTTAGGTGTATTTCAACTAAGAATTGGATATAAATTGTGAACCGCTAATAATAAATAAGCTAATCACCCATGTAAAATGTACACAATCTCATTTAGATTTTTCAAACCTCATTCACATAAATACTACTCCCTTCATCCGTCATAGATCTTTTTAGACACTATTCTAAAGTTCAAAATTAACACACTTTGTTTCTTTATTTTTACTACTCATTTCAAAAAATAATATAGTCCTGTCACTTCTAGTTTTATAAAATTTTTCATGTAATTTTTTAGTATATAAATTTTATTTTTAAATTATACCCCTATAATCAAATAAATTGAATATGGTATGTTTGAAACATGGATTTGGATTTCAAATTTGAATTTGGCTCAAATTCTATGTTTGGAAATTTAAAAATTTTAAATTTGGATTTGAGTCAAATTCTTCTCATTCATAACAAAGCTTCATTTGAAATCTATGCATCTCCACTTGTCATTTGAAATTTATAACTTTAAATTTTGGAATTGAAATGTATGAATAATTGAAATGAAATCCTAGTTCTCAAACACTACATGAAAGTAAAGTCGATAAAGTCTCGTAACGCGTAATGTGAAGATCTCAGATAGACGGAGAGAGCATTAGGTAGTGTTTGAGAACTAACATTATATTTCAATTCTAAATTTTAAATCCTTGAATTTCAAATGACAAGGAGAGTTATATGGATTTCAAATTGATCTTTGCTATCAACTAGAGAAATTTGAATCAATTTTTTTAGTTTCCTAAACGAGTTGAGCAAAATCTAGATTTGAAATTCAAATCCAAAGTCACCCCTTGCCCCCACCCCAGCCCCACCCTAATGTATCTTCCAAATGCGTAGATATTATGCATTGCATAATAACCACACATTTGGAGGGGGCTAAGGGTGGAGTTGGGGCCTAGGATGGGGACATGGGTGATGATTTGGGAGTTGGGTTGAGGGGTAGAAATTATTAATTTTATGAACGAAGCATCGCAAGTATTCCAAAAATAGCATCTTGACTCTAGTGTCATCGAAAGCATGTCCTTTCTCGCAATGTTATTAAATTCGGACCGGATCAGGCGGTCCGACCAATCAAACCGCAACCCAAACACACAACCGGTCTGGTCTAACCCCCAAAAACCCGGAAAAATAAAAAAAATCAGGTCGACCGGCAAAAACCCAGATTGACCCGGGACCCATCCTCCCCGCCGGGTCAATCTCCGGTCCGGGTTTAAAATAATTGCTTTTTCGAGGGATTCTAAGATTTTCATAATAGTAGGAGTGAATAATACTCCCTCCGTCCCCCATAGATCTTTCCAATAGTCCTTTTTCTTTGTCCACAATAGATCTTCTCATTTCATTTTTTAACAATTAAAATACCACAACTACCCTCACTTACTTTATTTATTACACCTCACCCACCTCATTTAATACACTCCACCCATTTTTCATTAAGGGTATTATGGTAAACTTTCACCTTTTTTCAACTTTCCTTAAAAACTACCAAAAGTCAAAATGAGAACATCTTAGGGGGACGGAGAGAGGAGGAATAGGGGGAAATAATTTTTGTACGGTGAACGTATTAAAAGATTCACACTAAATTCCAAAACGTACTATACAGGCACGTTAGACTGCGGGGTGCGAAATTAAAGTAGCGTAAAAAAATAGACTCCTTTTTCCTTTCCCAAACACATTACATTCATCCTCCCTTCCCTTCTCCTTTTTTTCTTCTTCTTCTTCACTCCCAAAACCAGAAAAAAAACATCCTGAAAAAAAAGCACAAATCTCTGTCTCAAGGCTTTGGGATTCTATAGGTAAGTGTAAACAATCGATTCCTTTGTTGAAATTCTACATTAATTTGTTCTAGTTCTGTCTGGTGTGATTTTGAAGCTTTTTTTCTTTGTTCCGTGTTTGGCTTATGCGAAATTGGTGTCAGATGTTTTGTTTTTTCAAATGTTCAAACATTTTGTTAATTCTCTGTCTTGTGAATTGCATTTGGATTGGAAGATGTTAAGAGCATAAGAACATTTCATTTTCAAGAACAAAGCTTAAAATCGGGAACCAAACAGGGCACCCAATTATCCAAACGTGATTTTCGGTGCAGTTTGAACCACCCGTTCCGGAAAATGGATTGGTCCCGAAACGACGTCGTACTGTATTAGGGAAAAACGGGCGTTTCAGAAATCCCACGTGCTTTAATCTCCTCCTTCCCTTTTAAGGATTGGGATTAATACTCCGCCCTATTCGCCAGACAAAAATTTTATTCCGTATTTGCTTTGGCATATCCAATTCAATCTCTAATTTTCCATTATTATTAATTAATTACGGAGTAATTACTTTGGTAATTTTTTTCCAATAATAATTCTCTTTTTTTTTGATAAAAAATAATTCTATTACAATTGTACGCAGTAATATCTGTTTATACGTACTTTCTCAATTTATTTATAATTCTGAGTTATCACATACATTGACGTTTGTAGCCCTAACCTCACTTTTGGAAGTGTCACATACGTATCATTATACAGCAGGGTCTTTGGCAATTGATTAGGTAATTAATTATCTCATTATAATTTATGTATTTATTTAGTTATTGCTCCGTATTATTATTATTATTACTACGAATCCCCTCTGTCCAAAAATAAAAGGTCAATTTAATATTTATATGGTAAAATTTTATCCACCTTCTTGAGTTATTTTTGTTACTCTTTTTATGAAGTGATATAATGATGTTGTCTCTTGCTTTATAAATCTTCTTTGGGGGTAGTTCCCGTGACATTAGCAATGTCATGGGATGGCCCAAGGGCCGTACGATGCTCTATTCTTAAAATTGACGGTTCCTATCCATCATAATTCTCGCTAAACCCCCCTCCGACTCTACCATGCCCTGAACCCACCGCCTCACCGCCTTCAATTGTATCCCCAAGTTTAATTGATTTTGGAGTCAAAATTTTAACTCCGAAGTCATTTAAACTTGGGGGATGCAATTGAAGGGGGTGGGGCCATGGGTTCAGGGCAGGCGGGCGGGGTGGGGGTTTAACGGGGGTTAGGAGGGGTAGTTACCGTCAATTTTACGAACGGAGCATCGTACCACCTCTGGTCATCCCATGACATTGTTTAGCAATGTCAAAGAACCAAGGTGATCTTTTTTATGTAACTTTTATATATATTCCGTATATTTTTTATGTATCTTTTTTAGAATTTAATTTATTTCAAAATTAGTGTAAAAATATAAAAATATATAAACTCCTCCTGTCCCAAAAATAGCTCTTAATTTGACTTGACACAAAGTTTAAGAAAATATAAATATACAGTTAAAAGTGATGCAAAGGAAAGAAAAAGATTGTGAGTCCCTCAAAGTTTTTCATAAAAGGAAAGAGAGAGCTATTTAGAAACATCCCGAAAAAGAAATAAGAAGTCTTTTTTTTTTTGGGATGGAGCTATTTATCAAAATTTTGGCTCCAAAATCAATTAAACTTGGGGATACAATTGAAGGGGGTGGGGCGGTGGGTTTGGGGTGGGGTAGGGAGAGGGGTTTACCGGGGCGGTAGTATGGGTAGGAACCGTCAATTTTACGTACACTGCCCTTGGGTCATCCCATGGCATTGCTAATGTCATGGGAATTGCCTCTAAAAAAGATTTATAAAGCAAGAGACAACATCATTATATTACTTTATCAAATGAGTAACAAAAATAATTCAGGTGAATAAAATTTTACCATGTAATTATTGAATTGGCCTTCTATTTTTTGGACGGAGGGGATTCGTAGTAATAATAATAATAATACGGAGTAATAAATAAATAAATAAAATTATAATAAGATAATTAATTACCTAATCAATTGCCAAAGACCTTGCTGTTTAATGACACCTATGTGACACTTCCAAAAGTGAGGTCAGGGCTACAATCGTCAATGGTGGTGATAACTCTGAATTGTAAATAAATTGAGAAAGTACGTATAAACAGATATTACTCCGTACAATTGTAATAGAATTATTATTGGAAATACAAATACCAAATTAATTACTTTGTAATTAATTAATAATAATGGAAAATTAGAGATTGAATTGGATATGGCAAGCAAATACCGAATAAAATCTTTGTCTGGCGAATAGCGCGGAGTATTAATCCCAATCCTTAAAAAGGAAGAAGAGATTAATGCACGTGGGATATTTGAAACAGACTTCTTATTTCTTTTTCGGGACGTTTCTAAATAGCTCTCTCTTTCCTTTTATGAAAAATTTTGAGACTCATAATATTTTTTTTTCCTCTATATCACTTTCAACTCTGTATTTTTATTTTTCTTAAACATTATGTCAAGTCAAACTAAGAGCTATTTTTGGGACAGGAGGAGTATATATTTTTTTATTTTTACACTAATTTTGAAATAAATTAAATTGTAAAAAATTTTCCGTACTTCCTTTTCTTTGTTTCCATACCAAAATTTTGTTTCACTTTTAAAGAACTATTTAACTCGCCTTATTCCTCCCTCTTTTAAACAAATTTAAATGGAAACATATTTAGAGTATTTAAATAAAAATATTTTTCAATTGTATAGACTAACTTTGAAAATATTAAAACTTAATAATGGGCATGTTTAGGAATAACGTTAGAGATTAGCATTACCGTTTTGAAAAAACTATCTACGGACAATGTTTAGCATTAACGTTTTCAAAATAATCTACACCCGTTTCTCAAACAGGCCCAATATCATTAGATAGGCTTATCAACCTCTTTATATGGACATACCTAAAAAAAAAGATCTTCTTACGGATAACGTTAGTAACCTATTTATACTAGGACTAGGATATATTCCTTTTCTTATCATTATCATGAATTCCCCATATATATTGGTTTCCATGTATTTGTGCTCCGTATCAATTAATAACGCCGACTATTATTCTCATTATTCAACTAAGGACCTTTTTTTTCAAAGATCTCATCTAAGGACCTTCATTAAGGTTAATTTATTAAATTTCTTTTTAAATTTTTTTTATTAAATTATTATATTTATGAGGTGGGTTTGTGGTCATAAACAAGATCTACAGCTTGATGATTAAACAGGACTTACAACTTGATGATCAGTATATGATGTGAAATAAGAACGTCTGGTGGCCTGGGATTCATAGTTTTTGTTGGTTTGGTTTTTATGCCCGAGTTGTGCTATTGTGGTCCTAAGGTTTACATGTGAAACGTGAACCTTCTCACATATTTTTTATGGGCTCATAATTGAATATTTTTCTTTCTACAAGGCCCACTACACATAATTATTTAATGCATTAAGATCCATATAATGAGCATGAACCTGAGGACCACGAAAGATTTGCCCTTATGCCCTAGTGTGTAGCGTGTGCTTGTGTAGTTTGGATCTAGTTTGTGTCGGTGTGCGTGCACGTGCTTCTTCTCTGTTTACTTGTACTCTGTTAGTACTTAGTACCATTGTGGTTTGTTTGTCCGTACTTTTGTATTTGAAGTAGATGTCTATTGGAAATAGTCTTATAGATGAAAACTAGGAACGGTATGATGCATTAAGTTTCATATTTAAGTGCCACAACAAAGCGAAAATCTCATAACAACAACAAGAACAGCAACTCGGTTGAATCCCACCAAGGTAGGGTCTATGGATGGTGTGTGTATGCAGACCTTACGTCCTTACCCCTACTCGAAAATCTAAAAAAAAATTGCAGTGGCATTCTTGTAAATACATAAAACTTTTCAGCCTTGAACAAGAATGTAGAATATACAAGAACAACAATAACAACAACAAACCCAGTAGAATCCCACAAAAAAATAGGGTATGTGGAGGGTGTGTGTCCGCAGAATCTCACAAGAAAGTAGAGCGTATGCTTAAATATGTTTATGTATGAAGGTACATTGTCATAACCTTAGTGGTGTTTTGAAATTTTGTTTTCAGGTGATGGGTATGGCTGAACAATCTGCACCAGTGGACCTTTCTTGGAACAGAGGAGATGTGTATGAAGAAGAAGATGGTGAGAATGTGATGGAACTGCTCAATATTCTCGGTGACGATTTCTATCCGGGAGGAAACGACTTTGTTGTTGACGATTTCGATGCTACGAAATTGGGACCCATCCCTTTCGACGATGCATTCGTTCCCTTTCCCCTTAACAGCACCATCCAAAATGATTCGTCGAATCCGCCATTCTTGCTCAAGTCTTCTTTCTCTGTAAGTCTCTATTGTGTCCTTAATTAGTACTACACATAAAAATGGCCTTTTGGGGTTAGGTTTTTCAAGTCCTTTTTCACAGTCCTCGCACTATTGGTCACTGTTTTTAAGGGCTGTGCATTGATTTTAGGGTGTATATGGACCTACAACCACAAGTTTGGGTTTGGCATGGTATCATAGCCTTGTCAACTTAGAGTCTAACCACCACCTAGTTTTAAAAAATTTGATGTCTACGTGCAAGGCTCGAAGCGACGACAAAACTATTGTATTCTCACGTGCACAATGTACCGTGAGTTTGAGCTTGTAGTTGACTTTGTTCCGTGAGAGTTCAATTGTTTTTGGGAGAAATAAGAGTAAATCATGCTTCATATACCAAAATAGGACTTTCGATATTTTTACACAAATATAATATACAGCGCCAAATAATGCCAACACATAATGACAAAAAACACCGTAAAATGTCAATATATAGTGCCAAAGTGTGACATTTTACATAGCCAACCCTCATATTTAGGGGATAAAAACACTGGAAGCTTTTTTTAACGCTAAGAACTCTATTATAATGTAGTATTTGTTCATACATTCTCAACCCATTAAACACGTAGAATGATTACCCCTCCGGGGATCGAACTTGTGACATCCTATATGATAGAGTCACTATCATACCGCTAAGGGCCGGCCCCAAAAAATGAAAAAATAAAATTGGCCCAGTCCAAAATTTACTTTTTGGGCCCTATTTTATTTTTTTAGAATATTTTTGCTTTAAAATTATTAACATGTTTAAAAATATGGGGCCCTAAAATTTTAGGGGCTCTGTGTGGTTGGCCACTTTGCACACCCTCCGAGCCACCCATATTTATTGCCGCTAGACCACAAGGTTTTTGGCAAAACATAGGAAGCCTTATTTTGGTATAAGTTCCATGTTTTAGTCCTATTTAGGCACCAACGCTAACAGATTTCTTATTGTTTTTCTTTATCCCCATTGTTGATTACTAATTTCAAAAGTGTTTTGGTTACTGTCAGCAAAAGCAGCAGCTGAATGAAGGTGCCCTTCTTCTTGGTCACAAGAATAAAAACTGTGAGGTTGTAATGTACCAGACACAGAGTCCAGTCTCTGTCCTTGACACTACTACTACTACTACTAGTGCCTCATCATCCTCCAGCTCGAGCGGAAAACCGGGCGGGCCCACAAATCCCGAACTCACCGTACCCGTGCGGCGACCCCGGTCCAAACGCACCCGGTCTTCGACCGTCAATCCATGGCTGCTCATACCTCCTCCTATAATCACAACTCCACACGTCGCCAAAAAGAAAATGAAGAGGATGCTGTCCCGAAAGCCCGGTGGGCCCGTCGGGCCCGGTGGCCCGTTTAAGAAGTGCTCGCATTGTGAGGCGACGGAGACACCGCAGTGGAGGGCGGGTCCGCTGGGCCCAAAAACACTGTGCAATGCGTGTGGGGTCCGGTACCGCTCCGGTCGTCTCTTCCCGGAGTACCGGCCCGCGGCTAGCCCGACGTTCGTCCCTTTGGTCCACTCCAACTCCCACAGAAAGGTGATAGAAATGAGAAGCAAGGTTCATGAACCGGAGCCGGTTCGTGATTTTCCGGCGTCGCCGTCGCCGGAATTCGTCCCCATGAGTGGCTACCCGTTTGATTGCATATACTGAGGGGGAGAAATTTTCAGTTTTTTTTTTTTGGATTTACAAAGTAATGCTTTGTTCATTTTGAACAATTTTATTTGTTATTGTTCTTGAGCAAGAAAAGAGGATATGATATGGTCCTCTGTTGTATTAGATTAATTAGATGAGAGTTTAGGCCTTTGATTGCATTTATTTTTTCAGTAATGATCTTTGAATTATTTTAATACATATTTTCTACCACTCCCTTTTATTTATTTATTTATTCAAATAATGTGAATAAAATTGATTATTAATCCTTATCAAATTAAGATTGTAAACGGATCAAATCGAATATTAATCCTTATCATATGTATTCAATTTGTGTACGGGTATTTGGATTAGTATTTGATCTACAACTCTTTTTGCAGTCGTATTTGATTCGTTTAAGAAATACTCTCTCAGTCCTACTATATTTGTCCATTTTTATTTTTGCACATTATCCAATACACTTCTTTAATCCATTTTATCTTGTAATTTGTATATTAAAAAATTATAGAAATTATATATTAATAATCTATATGTTAAGACAAATCAAACAAGATCACGCATGACTATATTTAGGCTTACACATTGAGAGAATTTGATGAGTCAAAGTGTTTAGATGAACAGTTTAAAAGTCAAAAGTGGACGAATATAACGGGACGGAAGTAGTAAGATGTACTGTATTAAATTTGATTAAAAATCTTCAAATTCAAAAAAAATATTGTTCTGAAACTATTTTTAAAAAAAATGATATTACAACTAAAAAAATTTTTTAGACAAGTGGCACTTCAAAACAAATTGAATTAAACAAAAATTTAACAGAATGCAAATCTTATTAAACTAACCCAAAACAATGTTGAACAAAACATATACCAACAACGAACTAGACGACCAAATTACTTATCAGCAAAACTAGATAAACCCTGCTTTCTTATCAAAGTATTGACATCAAAAATATAAATATAAAAATCACATATTAAAAAGTTACATTAAAAACTCCACAAGAGAAGAATTGACAAAAATATGTTATTGTATTAAATAACCAATAAAACATATAAAGAAATAAAAATTATTGAGAGATTAGAACAATAAAATGTGTAACCAAATTTTCTTATTATTTACTCCGTATTACTGTTCTCTTCAATTCTTATTACTTACAGAGTACTACTTTTTCTTATTAGAATCAGATCAGACTAGATCAAATTAAATCAGACCATATCAGAAACAATTTTAAATGTAAATCAGATCATATCAAGTCAAAATTTATTTTAATCACATGAGAAGAATTCATATTGCTTGAAGAGAACATGGCCTTAAAGTATTGGAACTCTTATGAAATCCAATAGTTAGGCCTTGCCCAAAGGTGAGTTGAACCAGACAATGCCCGTGAAGAATAATGCTGACGCCCTTTCTCTTTCTTTTCTTTCCACGCCCTTTTGGACATTTTCTAAGAAGCAATGGAAACTCACCCTACACGCAAAGCATGCCAAATATAGCAGCAGAGGTACATGAAATTATTGGGGGATTTGCTAGGTGTACCCAAGTGTATACTACCTTAATGAATGTATGTTTGTATCTGTGAGAAGATGGTATACACCACCTTGGGTTGGGGTGCACTTAGGTTTTTCTGGTATATCCATTCTCGATCATACTCCATATCTTTTTTTTTTTTGTTAAACATATAATTTTACCTCTAAAAGTTAACTTGTATCTTAATTCATTCTTTTCGGAGCATATTTTAGAAGTGAAATTGTTAATTTATAACTTTATCAATTGTGCACGATTGGTCCTTCAAGTTTTAAAAGTCCATAAATAGTCCTTCAACTTTATGAGTTATGCACGATTGGTCCTTCAAGTTTTAAAAGTGCATAAATAGTCCTTCAAGTACACGTCAACCCTCTATATGAGGTCCTTTTGACAATAAATGTTAAAAGCTAAATAAAATCCTAGCTCCATATAATACGGAGTAGTCGTACTTAGTGGAATTTACTCGTATTATATGAAACTAGTATTTCATTTAACTTTTAATATTTACTGTCAAAAGGACTTCATATGGAGGGCTGACGTGTACCTGAAGGATTACTTATAGACTTTTGAAACTTGAAGGACCAATGGTGCAGAACTCATAAAGTTGAAGGACTATTTATGGGCTTTTGAAACTTGAAGGACCAATCGTGCACAACTGATAAAGTTGAAGGACCAATAGTAAATTTTAGCCTAATAAATGAAATAGATTTAACCAAAATGAGTGTGTATAACAATACCCTCAAAAACAACTATCTGTGGTTCTTCCGAGGACTAAACGTAAAATATGTCATCCATCCCAAATTAACTTTATGCTTTGATTTTCATAGAATTCAAGAAAAAATAAAATTTCTTGTTGAGATTTATACCACCAGTAGATGAGGAGAAAAAAATAATGCTCCCTCCGTCCCTAAATAGATTACAATTTTTTTTTCTCTCTCCTCTCGATAACTTTTGTTTGTTTATGCGATTTCATCAAGTATTTGATAAAATAAAATATTTTTGTCACCTCTTGTTTTGTAGAACTTTTGACGTAGTTTTTTAATATGTAATTTTTATAGCTTATTGATATACCAATTTGTAAATAAAATAATTTCAAAAAGTAGGAAATTTTACTCCGTAACCCGCAATTTGTAATCAAATTGGGGACGGAGGGAGTATGAACAACTCACTACTCTCTTTAATATTTGCCTTAAACAGACAAATCAAATCATCATCAACATGTCGCACAGGCAGGATTAGTTACAGGTTGACATTTCAAGGATCCGGAGTTTATTTCAACAAATCAGATGCACCAGCTATAGTGCTACACATTGCATTTGCTGGAGTTCCAAGACAACGGGGGCGATTAAACGGGTTCTACGCAACAATATATACGTAAGATTAGGCAGAGACAAGTCGAAAAGGAAAGCATAGGACAAACAAGTAAGATTAGTCAATATGCAGATCTATAAGACCCGAATCATGTGTTCAAAGAGTTTGAAGTTCACCAATGAATCCTAATCATTTCCCAACATGAAACTCTACCCAAAAACCCAAGTTGTGACAAGTCTTAACTACTGCCTAAGTGCTCTAAGCCTCTAACCGCGATAGAATATGGATAGACGATACAGTTCCAATTCTTAACCAACAAGAAGATCCATGGGTTCTAAATCAGAACCAGCGTATAAAGTTCCTGTTCCATTTCTATCAATTTCGGGCATGTTCCACAACAACTTTGTCTTTTCATTTGAGTGTTATGAAATACTAGTAACAATCTAATGGCAATATTTAGCTTTAGCGCTTTGAGAGTCAGTCTGCACCATTAAAAAATTGTCTAAAATGCTAACTGAAAACGTTGTTTCCAAACAAAGAATCATCAAAGTTATATTCAATCCTACTGCAAAATGAGATCATAATCGAAGCCGAAAATTCTCAATCACACGGCGTCTACCAAGAGACAATAGAATTCATTCATGGCTGAATCACATTGTAAAGTACATAATTTGAACGGAACCAGATGGTGGAGTATATAGGTTTAACAGAAATCCAGAAAATCATGACAAACTCCATTGTTGAAGAAAAGGATTATCAGAGAATTATACAACCTACCTAACAAGGAGGCTATATTATGAACACATCCATCGGCATTAATAATTAGGTAGGGTTCAACAATTACGTACAGAAAGAGAAAGATGAGAGATCTGGAGAGGGATTAGTTGTAGTAGAGCTCGAGGCCGTCGCCGTCGTGGACTTCGTAGTCCTTGAGGGTGATGTGATCCTTGTAGATGGTGTACCACTTCTGGATTCGGATCTTTTCGGCCCTGGTTCCGGTCTGCGCCGCCACGAGCTTCTTCAGGTCTCCGATCGTGTCGTCTTCGTTGCACTTCACCCTCACCTTCTTCCCCAGTCGATCGTTCAGAACCACCTCTATCATTTTTTTGAGATTTCTTCCTCCTCCTTCGAATTACTGATCTCGCTCGCCGTCGTCTCCGATTCCCCACCCACTCACACAAACGGAAGAGACAACACCAGGCTCCTCCTCCTGTATGAAATATGATGACTTTTGTTGTTGAGTAGTCCTCCTCCCCGATTTAATCTTTTTATTTCATTTTTTAATTAAAATTTGTAAATTTTAAACTTGATTTGTGGAAATAATCAATTGTACTTCAATATAAATTTAATATTAGTAGTTATTAAAGCTCAAAATATTAGTCATATTGAAGATCGTGAAAAGTCAAATGGAGTGGACAAGTTCCGAACTAGTTCTGAAACTTCTTTAAAAAATTGAAAATGTCGAAATAAAAAATACCAAATCGAAAATAGCAAAGGAATTAAGTCGTAAAAAATCAAACGATTTGGCACGGCATTTAAAAACGGTGCGAGATAAATTCTTATACTGAAAATATCAGACTGAAAATATACACTAATATATTATAAAAATAATAATCTTTTTATATTCATTCAATAAATAATGAATTTATTGTGTGCGGGGTCATAATGTGTTATCAAACATAGAACATGAGTAGAGTGGAGCAAAAATACTCTGGCCGAAAAGATAGAGCGGAATAGAGCATACATTAAAACTTGAATAAAAAAGATAGGATTGAAGTGGTTTTTGAAATTGGCTACTTCTTGGCCCAATAGTCTTGTTTTGTCTTTGATTTTTGGTGAAAAATTAGACAATTCTAAGACAGGGTGCTCTTTTCTAAAAAAGGGAAAGTGCTAAATATGTTAAGCATATTTATTATATATGTTAAGTATATTCCTTGTATCAATTATAATACATACCATAATTGTATAGGCTCCATATATAATATTGTTTCCTTATCGTAAACCCCTCCACTTTGTATATAAAGGGAGGTAGAATTTTTGTATTAATCAGAAAAAATAATAATTCTTCATGGTATCAGAGCCAACTCTCGGCTAACCCCGAAACCTTCTCCTTCCCGGCGTTGCACTCTCTACCGCCGCCTCTCTCTCTCTCACGGCAGCCCCTTCCTCCCGCCGGCAGCCCCTGACGCCACTCTCTCTCTCTAAAACAACCCCCACAACTCTTCTCTATGGCCTTGCAAAAATCAAACACCCGTCACCCACCCCATCCCGGTTACTACCGCAGCCCAGCCCGCAACNCCTAGCCGCCCCGTCTCCAATGCACAGCCTCCAATTTCATTTCACCAAAATTTGTTGACTTTTGGGTCAAATTTTTTACCCAAATTTGGTGTAATGAAATTGGCGGGGGTGTGTTGGGGAATAAAATGATGTAAGATTACCCTTCCTCTTTTCTGAAATATGAGTGATCCCATTACTTTTTCTACAAACACACACACACAGATGCTCAAGATACAATTTGGTTTTACTAAACAAGTTGTATGATTGTATCTAAATTTTTTGATAAGTTTAAAGTACCAATATTTGTATAAAACTGGATATGTTTAACCGTGCCCACAGGGTTGCATTAAAATTCCATTTCATATTTATTGCCCTGTAAAGTTACTATCGTTCCTGATCCTGAATCAAGGATGGCTGAATGGCTATGGCTCTAATCTAGAAACCCAATGGAATCGACACATTTTGTTTTTAGCGTCGTACCATATGATATCAACGATCTACCAGCTCACTGATCAATTTTTTCTTTACCCTTTTTTTATCAGAACCCGTCAAGCATCTATCACTACAGAACTAATAGAGATCATATCTGGGGCTTCGGCACTTGAGGGCTGATTTACCTGTTTGTTACTCTCTAATTTATGATGGTGATGAAATAAAACCCTACAGAGGACTGGTGTTGCACTTTAGTTCTCCTTTAGGTACTCGAGCTTTTTATGGTCGTTAATAATCTCGTGTTTCCCCCCGGGATAATTCGGTTTTTTGGCTGGGAATCTTGATACCCTCTCCCTTGTATAACCAACCTCCACAACAATTCTTGCAGAGGGGAAAATTGTGTTCATGTTTTGAAGTACAAAGTTTATTCAACTTCTGAGTGTTATCCATTTTTCTGTACCAAAACGTTGTTTGTACAACAATACCAACAGCGCACTGTAAGTGCCCGTAACATTTTAATGTCATTTTTCTAATGTCAAAAGATCTTTGCTGATTTTGGGCTTGGTTCGGTTTCCAATGTCATGGAATGACCCGGAGATGCTCCGGTGTTCCGTTCGTAAAATTGATGGTTTCTACTCCCTGACTCCCGGTAAACCCCCGCCCTGACCCGAACACACCTCGCACCCCCTTCAACTGTACCCCCAAGTTAATTTTGACTTGGGGGAGGGTGGTGGTTCATTATATACTCTCAATCTGGCGTGCCTGCTGCATATACAGAGCTACTATAAATAATAGAATTCTCACACTGCCGCTGTTGATATTCGATCCTATGATCAATGGACTTGACATCTTTTTAGACCAGTTGAGCAGTTGAGCTACCCATGCGAATAATTTAGTTGTTTGTTACTCTTTAATTTTTTTTGACTACTGTTACTCTTTAATTAGTGATGGTGATGAAATAAAACCCTAAAGAGGACTGTTGTTGCACTTTAGTTCTCCTTTAGGGTATGTTAGGTTGGAAGGGAAGGGAGGGGAAGGAATAGAGAGGGAATGAGAAGGGAAGGAAAATATTCCCTTCACCTTGTTTGATTTAGAAGGGAAAGAAATGTTTTGTTTTATTATACTCTCTCCGTCCATTTAAGATCTTCTCATTACGCGTTACGAAGTTTGACCGACTTTATTTTTAATTTAAATTAATTGATTATAAGAGAAATTTTAAAATAAAATTTTATATAATAATAAACTACATGAAAAGTTTTACAAAATTAGAGGTAAAAGGACTATATTATTTTACGAAATAACTAGTAAAAATGAGCAAACAAAGTGAGTAAAATTTGATCACGTAAATAGTGTTTGAGAAGATCTATGAAAGACAGAGGCAATATATTTATATTTTTCATTTTTAAATTTATTTTGTTATCTATTTTTAAAAAACATTATTATCAGTGTTTTTTATTTTATTTTATTTTTAATTTTAATTATTTATTACTATTTTTATTATTTGTCCTACATTTTAATTTTTTAATTTATTTATTTTCTTAAATTTAACTAAGTATATATATACACATATTTGTATATATTATTTTATTTATTATTTAATACTATGATTTTTCATTATGAATTGATTGGTTTATTTTATTATTAAAATTATTATTATTATCCTTTTTTACTTTTTATTTTATAATTTTTTTAATATATGTTATTATTTTATTATGGGTTTTTATTTAATTATATTAATATTTTTAGTTTTTATTTTAATTTTATATTTTTATATTTACTTCTTTGTTATTATTGTTATTATTTTAATTATCATTTATTATTTTAGTTACTTATTTTATTAGTATACAATTTTTTATTATTAATTTTTTTATTTGGCATTATTTATTAATTATTACTATTATTTATATATTTATTTTACTTTTATTTTTTGGTTCTATTTTATTGTATATTATTTTTTTATTGACAAGACGAAAAAAATTGACAGAAGAAGAAGCGAAGGACATGAGGGGAGGAGATTCTGTCTAATTCGGAAGCATTAATTTGAAGGGATCGGAAAGGGAGGGAATTAAAGCTAAAATTTTGGATTCCCACCATGTTTTTAAACCAAACAAAGGGAGAGATTGTGATTCCCTCCCTTCCCCTCCCCTTCCCTCCAACCAAACTAACCCTTAGTTACTCGAGCTTTTTATGGTCATTAATAATGAATTACCAGGCATCTCTCAATGAGTATAAACCGTCAAAATGTTGTGATCTATCGATATGGGCATGTTTGAGAATAGTTTTAGAGGTTAACGTTAACATTTTGAAAAGGCTATCAGCAGGCAGCATTTAGCGTTAGCATTTTCAAATTTAATCAGCACCGTTAAGATTTTATCCAAAATGTTAACGCTGATCGAAAATCCTATTCCCAAATAGACCCTGTGTTTTCTTTTTGCAACAATTAGGGCTGGGTTGGGAAAATCGAAAACCGAAAAACGATCCCAAACCAATCAAAACGAGCTAGAAAAAAACCGAATCGAAAAAACCGAAATCGAATGTAAAAAAACTGAACAACACCGTTATTGTTTGGTTTCTGTTTTGGTTTTCACTTCGAAAAACGGAACCGAACCAAATAAATCGAACTTTCTTAGGTACTTCGCTTTATTTATATGAGTATATGTAATATGAAAAAATCATAAATATATAAATGCAAATAATTAATTAGTCGATTAAACTTATTTTTTTAACTATTAAACATTTTAAACCTTATTATAAACTTTACAAAACCTAGAAATATAAACATCAATAACTAATCCTAATACGAAATTATATTAACATTAACAATCGATACGAGTAATTGATATTTACATGTGAAATCTTTATGAGTATTTGGAAGCTCTTAGATGTTTGTTGGGCACTCGATACATATTTCTTGTGTAAATTGAACTGAACTCAAATCTTCCGTTCAGTTTTGGTTTTATGTAAAAATCAAACCGAAAAACCAAGTCCAATCCTACATATTGTTATTGCTTCATCGAATTAGTATTTTTACAATTTCTAATGCTTATAAATTTTATTTTAAAAAATTGAATAAACCGAAAAAAATCGAAATAAACATCGCATAAAACTGAACTGAATAACCAACGATTTATATATTTTATATGTGAAACCTAATCGAACTGCCAATTTATCTTTCGTTTTGTCTTTGGTTTTAGGTGAAAACCAAACTGCTAAAACCGAACCCACCCCTAACAACAACGATACTATAGGGGCAAGAATACTCATCAATTCTTACAATGCAAATTACAAATTAATGAGTGATTAGTTTGGGATTGGTGAGTAAATGCTTTTGTGATTAGCTTATTGGTTCCTCATTGGTGAACCATTTCAATTATAGGTGTCATATTCTTATGCATACATGTTGTAGCAAAGAACTTTTTGTATTATGAGCCTCTTCCTTTGACAATAAGGGGTGTTCTCATAATATGATAATATTTTTTCGTTCATGAAGTTT